AGAGTAAGAGTAGATACACAATAAGTGAGGGGAATAGAGCTTTTCTTATTCATGTGTTCCTTAGTACAAGGAGATCATCTATTTATAGACCCACATAAAATAACCTCTACATTCTTACAATTAATATACATGAATGTGAGAATGAATGTGAAATAGAAATGGGGTGGGGGGTTACATGTAACACCCAATTGTGCATATAATGTGGTTGTCATCCACATAAATATTTACATTATACTCCCCCTTGGATGACCACTAGATTGCATGACGCTATCTCATGCTGCCTCATTAAAACCTTACCAGGAAAACCAGTGGGAAAAAACCATGGTTGAGGGAAAAAGAGTGCAGCGCGTATATGCTCCCCTAATAACAACATCAAAGTGGAGTTTTGTGAACATAACTTTCAAATATAGTCATGGTAAGTTTCTTAGTAAACAAATCTTCTAGATTGTCGCTTTATGCATGATCTACTATGACCATTTTCTTCACACATGATCTTCGGGATCATTTTCTATGAAAATAGTCAATAACTTAAGGTAATTTAGACGTGTTGAATCACAAATCTTAACAAAAAAAATCATAACATGTCTCATGAATGCTAACCTTTGTGCATGATCTGTTGATATAACATTTTTTGTTTGTTTAGAATCTCCATGAGATAGTTGTACGACAAAATAACTCATCTTTGATCATCATCGTTACCTGAAGGTAACGAAGTATAAGCTCAACTCTGTTTGATTGTCATATACAGAGAGACACTGAATGAAATGCTAGATGGCGTGTGGCTAGCAAGATACATCAGCACTCTAATGACATAAACATACGGTAATTCAGAACCTAATAATTCATTTTTATCTCAATGCCTAAATTGATCTTTGTTCACTTCTAGTGACCTTATGATCATTAGGCTGTTGAACGTATGCAATTTTTTCCATACAAAAATGTTCTTTCACTTTTCCGACATTGTCGTCCTAATCCAAAAAGGATCTTATTAAATCCTTCATGTTCAATTTTCTTTTTTAAGCAATCCATGATGTATGAAACTCTTCTGGAGTTCAATTTTGGGTCGTGAATTATTTGGGTCGTGAATTATTTGTAAATAACTTGGTTTACCCATATGTTATTATCAAAATCACATGTCAAATACCACATATAAAATGGCTAAGCCAAACGGGATTTTTAGATATCATATGAACAATTAATGAGTTATTTGACTCTACAAATATCACATTGACAATTCATCCATCCAAATGACTCTGATAATAAGTTATTGGGTGCGCCTATGGTGACATGCATGTCACCGTAACTTGCACTTTTCAGTCGACCCTCGGTTAGAATTAGGTCGACCTAATATGTTGTTTCAGAGTAAAAACAGTTTCATGGTGCCTACTATGGAGATTCATATCTTACAATTGGCTCGATAGAAATTGTAGATTAATGGTTTATATTGAAGCTGGAGTGCCCCTCTACACATTGAAGTGCTTGGGAGCTCGATTGGAAGTCCAGAAGACCATTTTTGAACCTGATCAAAAGGTTATGTCACTGTAGCAAAGTCCTAATTTATTTAACTCTACAAATACCAACTTGACAATAAACTCATCCAAACGATAAAATATTTGAAAAATTGAGGTTCATACTTATTAACAACTTTATCCTAATCAAAATATGATATAATAAAAGTGAAATCACAAGTAATTCTAGTAGAATTACATGCATTTTAGGGGAAAAAATCGAGAATGAGTAAGTCAGGTAAAGAAAAATATGTCTCTCCATCCACATTAGACAATAGTAAGTAGCAACACATTGGATTCGAAAATACTGAACCCCCCACACCCATAACCAAGAAAGTGGCAGACTTTTCTTTCTTGGGGTCATTACTCTAAAATGAGTCATTAAAACAATGTCATTAGGTACTAATCGCAAGGAATATTTATCTATAAGTGGACCCATTTTAGGCCCCCTCCTTTCTTGGCGTGACCTTCTATAATTCATTGCCGCCACCATATAATTAAATACGTGTACTAATTACATATATATTTGTATAATGTTGCAGAAAAGAATAATTAGTTGGTTTAACCCCAAACCTAATGATCTTGATTTAATTTGTAGCCAATTGCTGACATTTTTACAACTAAGGAAGCACCACGCTAGACCTGGAGCGGCCGCTGAACACAATATCTCCTAATCAATCAATCAATTAGCAAGGAATTAGACAACCAAAACAAGGGTTACATAAATACAATTAACAAAAAAATATGTCTTAATCTCGGTATAAATTAGAGCTCCCTCGCAAATGGTGTAACCTCAATGTGAACGCTCTGACAAAGAAGGAAGGCAACAATTGGTTAACTTTGGGATTTAATTAATTAAAATAATCTGTTCAAACAAAAACGTCAAGTTGGGAAAACTTTGAAGTTTTACCATTTCAACTCAGAAAGAAGCAAAGCTTGAAAGCTACATCCACATAGAGGTATTGCATGTATGCGTGCATAGGGGTGATAAACGGTTAGTCGGTTATCGGTTTTAACCGATAATCGAACCGATAAAGCCGGTTAGTGGTTAACCGATAACCGCTACTTCTTTATTGGTTTCGGTTTCGGTTAGTAGTATTTTGGTTAGTGGTTAACCGCTAACCGACTAATCGGTTAGCGGTTAACCGATAAGAAAACCGATAACCGCCTACTAGTGTAACTACATGGTTTTTTACTTTGGCTAAGGGAAAAAGTTGTAAGATTCAAAACCAATCAAAGTCGCAATTCCAAACATCCCAATTCTCACCTAGTGCAAACAACCCTCCATCAAGAGTCTCGAATGTTTTTAAGAGTTAGAACTCGAAAGTCACCCCTCTCTAACTCCCCTTTGCACTCGATAAAGTGAACCTTAGGTTGATGACTATGGGCTAGATGAAGATCTTGGAGTAAATGATGACTATGGGCTAGATGAATTGGAGCGAGATCCTCGGATCATTTAGGTTGATGATTTGGAGATAATGAACTTGTTATTTGTGTCTAGTTGTGATTGTGACTTGTGGTTGAATTGTGGGCATGTAGACTTTATGTTGTGGAGTTGTGGTTGAATTGTGTGGTTGCTATAGGCTTTATGTTCGATTGATTTAGATGACTTTATGGTGGGTGATTATAGAGGCTGAAACAAAAGCATGTCACTCAAAATTGAGGGTGAAACATTAAAAAAGGTGGTTGAAATTCGATTTTGGGTGTCGGTTTCTGAACGAAAACCGAGAAAGTGAACCAGAACCTACGATTTCGGCTAACCGCAATGGAAAACCAAAATAGATGTTTGCGGATTTCGGTTAACCGAAGTCTCTGTCGGTTTCGGTTAGCGATATTGGGACAATTTTGATTGCGGTTAACCGATATTTCGATGCGGTTAAACCGAAACCGCACCGACTAACACCCCTATGCGTGCACAACCATATATAAGAAATAAGAAAAATAAGAAAACGTTCCACATCCCACAAACTAAAAAATAATTGTAAAACTATATCGAAAATTATACCAAAAAAGTTAGTGATATAGCATTTTATGATGAAATTATTGTATAGCCAATAGCCACGACTCAACCACTTCATAGTTCATACAGTTAAAACCCCTCTACCAATTTAGACTTCAATTAAAGATTTTTACAATCGCACCGCCGGTTCAGTAGTCTTACAAACGCTGAATCAAACTCCTCTAGTTTCATTTCATAACCATGGTTCAACCTTCTGCCGCCTAGAATATTTCCTTAATTGATTATTTATTTATTTATTTATTTATTTATCGCATGTTGGTTCATTCTCTGTAGCGCTGAAACCAGACCATCCATCTGGATCAACATGGTAAGTTGTAACACGGCACCTAATGACCTAACAAAAAAATTGCAAGGCAAAATGACATTTACTCAAATCCGATGACCACAAGAGGAATCCATCCAACTCATCCTCATCTGTCTATTGGGCCCAATCCCACCTTGTATTTCTATTTCCTTCTTCATAAGCCATCCTTTCAATACATCCAAAGGACATAAACAAATGAAACCCACCACCACCAGCCACAAGCCGATTACGAGCTCTCGAGATCTCCACCGTCCATCTTACCAATAATTTCCCCCCCCATTTTTCTAAATTTTCTTGTTTCGACCAAAACGCAACAGAAACTCGGTTGTACAACGACGCAACAAGGTCCCAGCCTAATTTTTTCTTCAGGGAAAATTCCACGTGGCGACCTCTTAGTGGCAGGACTTCCCCATCTTTCCAGCCCACACCACACATTAACAGAACCCAATCATGTGCAATATAATAATAATAATAATAATACAATTGAAAAAGGAAAGTAAAACTTATCGCGTGAGGCTCTGCCTTACTTTTCGGACCTTTCCCCTCCGCACTCAACCCCCATACAAAATCTCGCGATATTTACGTGAGAAGAACGTTTCAAACATCACATGCCCCATTCTCTTTCCTTTTTCTCGGCCTGCGCGTCTTTTCTGTCCTTAAAAGCCCAGCCACGTTCCTCGAATTTACAACGGGATGCCACTCTCTAACCCAGAAACTGGAAAACAATTAATCAAAACCAAATCAAGAGGAAGACACAATTAAGAACGAACCAGATAGTATCAGGAAACACTCACAATCACAATGATCTTAATATTAATCCATAATATTCATAATATTAATCTTCGAATTCTGAAATTAAAAGGAGCGAAAATGAAGAAGAAGATTCAATTAAAAGGTAAAAAAAAAAAAGGAAGAAAAAATTCCTATAGAAGCTGTGGACGACCGAAACTCGCAGGAGAAAGAATTAAATGGCGGATCTATCAGCATCGATCCCCTGGGAGTTCTTTCTTTCTTCAATCTCTGTTATCTCTTTCCATGTTCTGCCTGCAGAGAAAGAAAAGAACAGGCTTCAAAGATCGAGAGAGTCGATCTCGATTCTTCATTTTGTGGTTTTTCTTTTTTTGGGTTTTTTGAATTCGCCTGGAATCGTTTGTATTTTTTCTCCAAATCAGACTCTAACGATCTTGGCAGCCTTGACGACGGGATTCTCCCTCGCGATGGCCTCCCGGCCGGCCGTTTTGTAATCGTAGCTGCAGTCGTGGCGATCGGAGTACCGGTGCTCCGAACAGAAGAGCTCCCCACACCGGCATCGGAACCCGGTCAACCCGACCTTCCTCCGGCAACCGGAGCACCGATTCACGGCCTTCCTCGCCAGGGCCAATTTCTCCTGATCTGACGGCGTGTCCGCATCCGGACTCGTCTCCGGAGGCAGATCTCGCGCTGGGGACCGAGAAAAGCTAGATCTCGGTGATGTGTCGACAGAAACTCGGCTTTTCGAGGTCGTCGCCGTTGTGGTGGTCGCTGATGATGCAGGCGACGAGCCGTTCAGGATCGTGGCGAGGGAGGAGGCCGCCGATGAGGAGGAGGTGGTGGCGGTAGCGGTGGTCGCCGTGAAACATTTCTGGCACATGTTATTGGTGGCGGGGTTCCCGGTGACGCCGCAGTTGTTCACGCAGGAGGTCAAGGCCTCGGGTGCCTTGAACTCCGTCTCTTCTTTCTCCGTCTTCTGCGCCATATCTTCTTCTTCTTCTCCTTCTTCTCCGCCTCCGCTTTTCTTCCTCTTCCGGCCGATTGTGGCGGTGGGTTTTCGTGGATTTAAGATTTCACGGCGAGAGCTGGATCGCTGGAGAGAGAGAGGGTTGGGAGGAGAGGGGATGGGAGAAGGGAAGGGATGGGGAAATGAAAGGATATGAAGAGATCGAGAGGTCGGCAAGAGAGACGCGTATGAAACAATTTCTTTATGGAAAGGGAAATGGGAAGTTTTCCACTTTTAATTTTGTTTTTTATTTTGTTAAATTTAATAATTTAACTCTTCTCTTTGCGCCTGGTTTGACGAGAATGTCCTCTGTAGCTCGGCGAAATTACGGAGCTTGGTTGGGGTGGTTCTCATTTCGTTGTTTACTTGTTTTGTTTTGGGGGAAAGATTAGGGTGTGACGTGTTTATCGTCATTATCTACGAGAGAGAGAGAGAGATAGTACAGTGTGGCGAGTCTTATTTTATGGGTGGGTGGGACCGCTGCTTTTAGCCACTTGATTATATTTTATGTCGTCATTTCGGTGATTCTCGATGCTTAACAGAGAGGAAAGGAGGCCTTAGGCCTTTTCTTTTCTTTATTCCACCTTGTTAGCTTTGTGGGCTTTTTTATAAAATAATTTTTCTAGGAGCAGGACCGCTGAAAGCAGGCCGAAACGTTTTATGGAAACGAATACTAAATTAGGCCTCGGCAATTGTCATAAACAACCCAGCTAGTTATGCCTCGGGCACTAAGAGTTTGAGGGGGTAAATCGTCATTGCATCTCCTCTTGACAACCCTACATAAGTAAGATAATAAAAACAAAGCTATCTCAACATATGGATTTTTTTTTTTGTATTTTCTGTTAATTAAAGGTTAGTTTATGATATATTAATGTAATAAGATGAGAGAGTATTTTCAATTTTCAGTATGATTTTAGGAACAGCTTTTTATTTTGTTTCACGAAATGTAACAAATTGTTGAAGAAAGAGAAAAGAGAAGGAGGGTAGAGTTGGGATTGTGGCAATTTTAGTGGGCCGAGTATTGTGGTGGTGAAGGTGACAGGGAGGCTTGGAGCCGCCCAGTCTGACTGGGCCCACCACACCCATCTACCCACAGGAAGGTCCACAAGGATGGAAGCTTTCCCTTTCATGTCAAGTCGCTTTCCCCTTCCTGGCGTGTCGTACACGTGTACAATTGATTCCTACGTGTCGCCAATTTGCCATGACACACTTCGCCAGGTCGGATCACCGTGGAGCGCCTCCAACTCAAAACTTCCAAGCCCTCACCTTATGTAATTTTGAAGGCCTTCAAATGTAAAAAGGGAGACAAATAAATACACACAACCATGTAAACGAAGGATAGTACCAAAATATGATGGATCTTCTCGTTCTCATATTATTATTGGGACAATCCTTTGAAAATAACCAAACAACAATTTTTTCTTAAATTAAGGATTTTGCGATTAACTACACTCAATTTTGCCTACCATGATTATATTTTGTGAAAAGTGATCTTATTCTGATTGTAGATAATAAAAATGTGAGTTCGATTATTTCGTAATTAACCACAAAACTCATGATTTAGCTTTAACACACAACTGTACGTGGGCAACCGGCCGTGCCGTCCATGGGCTAGCATGGCACGGCACGGTCAGAGCATAACACGAATACGAGCATGACACGAGTACGAATAGACAAGACACGATTCTAATCGTGCCCGGGTCTGGGCCGGGCCTAACAAAGTTAACAAATGGGCTTGCATGGCACGACACGAAAACTGACGGACCGTACCAAACACAACACGAAATAAATGTGTCCGAAGCGTGCCTATGCCGTACCGGCCCAAACACGACCCAGCGCCCATGTACACACAACTATACTTTACGAGAAGACACCTCTGAACTCTTGATCTAGAAACTTATTGAAGGTCAATAGTGGTTGTCACTTGTCACTCAAGTGTAGAGTCGGCATACGCTTGATAGAAAGCTGCCAAATTCAACTTTAAACCCATCCTTTCCTTGTTCAGGCCAGCCTCGCACCTCAGTGGCAAGTATGGTAGCTGGCTGGAGATTAGCCCAAGTCAAGTTGGCAGCGACGGGAATCCATATGGGGCTCCGAAAATTGATCCCCAAACGCTACTTGCCCAATTTGAAGCCAGCCTTTACTTTTTTTGCCCCCAGCCGAAAGATATGTACGACGGGAAAGAATGAACAAGCGAGATTACGACAATTAATTAAATAGTTTTTAATATTAATTCAAGGGTTTAGGAGTTTGGACGGTCATACAAGAAGCAGCTAGCCTAGCTATCCTCTCCTCCTGTTTGGTTCTGGTCCACCACTGGACCTGGTCTGCCACCGTGTTATTAAAGAATTAATAATATTAATAATAATAACTAAGAAGAAAACGTTTTATACGGGGAATAGAAAGTCAAACGAGGCTTTGCTGAGTCATTGTTGCATGAAAACCAAGCCAACAATTCAACAAATGCACACGTGACGTCCGCGCCTCTCCGGCGGGGGGGATTCTTGTCCACGGCCGCCGGCGACGTGTTTTTCTTTTGTCGTGAATCGTGATAATGACCCGAGTCGAGTCACGGGTGACGCTAACGAGGGCGGGAGGGACCGCCCATTGGAGCACTCCCACTTCCTCGTAGGCCCCACACCCTTCTTTTGTAATTAATTCAATTATAATTATTAATGAATATTCGTTCCAAATGCTTCATATTATTATTATTATTATAGTTTTAATTCGACTCATTGGAAACACGAATTTTATATAAATAATAAAAATTATCCGTAAATCAAGGATTATGAACTGATACGATTTTCCATTTTTTTTTAGTAGGAAACGTAGGACCGATGTAGATGGAAGCGGGCTGGATTGTTTGTGCAGGCTTTACTCAGAGTCCTAATTGTCGGCGGCTTGATTGGCCCAAGCGAAAACCGAACTTTTCTGGGCCGCTAATGAAGCCCACTATCGGCCCCAACCCAAACAAGAGTCGACTTAAAACTATTTATGTTATTTATTTATATTTAATATTAATAATTAAGGAAAAACATTAATAAACCAACCCATTGAGGAAACTGTTGCCAGGCCTGGCTTTAGCTTATTATCCTTGGCCAGCAATTCACACAACACAACCCTTCAGCTGTGGGGTTTTCCATGAACCCCGAAACAACACCGAAGAAAGTTTCTCTACCTCTTCAATCTTCATCACCCCTCCTCGCCGGCCTTCGTTCCCCTGCTGTATCTTCACCTGCCTGCCGCATTTTGTCGAGAGGCAGTGCCACCGCCACGCTACACTGATTTGTGAATCGTCGTCGTCGTCGTCAGTTTTTCTCTGTTAGGTTTCCGATTGGGGGGGAGGTGGAAGGAAGGGGAGAGGGTGATAGAGAGATGGGCAGTTTGGATCGAGTTGACGATCGGACATTTAGGGTTAATTTCTCAGAGGATGGAGTTGGGAAGCTGAGAGAACGAGTGAGGGAGAAACTCAAGGAGTTCATGGGCGATTACACGGACGACACTCTCGTGGTATGTTCCTGGCGCTGTTTCAAGTTTTGCATTGTTCCTGGAATCTCAGATGAACCTTGCCATGGCTGTGTTTTCATGGAAGATTTTGCTCTTCATTTCCGGTGTAGATGGATTAGGTTAATGAGTGAATTGGATTGTTGTAGTAGAAAGGAACTGTGTTTAGATTAGTCTGCCAATGGTTTTTCGTCTTTTGCCTCCTATGATGGTCTATAAGTCACTTGGTAGCTCTGCTGACAGGGGTAGTATACGGATTTCAACACCTTTAGTTGGAATTCATCAAGATTGAACATTGACTAGCACAAAGCCTCATATTGTAGTTAGCAATTAAACGGGCAGCTGTTGTTATACAACTTTTAGGTTGAACAGGCATTTCGTGGCATGTTGCTTTATACTATGTTTTAGTTGGAAAAAGCAGAGGATAAATAGCTTGCGCTTTCAAACGGAGGCTTTAGAGTCTTGTGCATGTGGGTTTTCTTGTGATTTGCTTACCATGTGTGTTGATTTAATCAGTTGTCCAATGGCATCCTAATCCAGTGTCTTTGATATAGTGCCTATTTGTCACAGTTTGAACTACTGCAAGATTATTTGATTTTGGGAAACTAAGTTTTCCTGATTTCTGATTTTCATTTGCAGGAGTACGTGATTGTGTTATTGAGGAATGGCAGGCGCAAAGAAGAAGCAAAGACTGAATTGAATGTTTTTCTGGGAGATGACAGTGATTCCTTTGTTTCTTGGTAACTGTTTCATGCTTTCCACTTATGTTTTTAAACATAATATCCTGTTATTGGTATCTGATTCTCTATCCATTTGTCTTGAGTTAACAGTTATTTTTCATTGTTGGCAGGTTGTGGGACCACCTAGCTTCAAGTGTAGAGTTGTATGTGAGTCATGGGCAGACTGAAACAGATAAAACAACTGAAAGGAGAACTATAGGGGCTGAGCTTGTGGGAAATGATCCTCATCATGTGGAGTTCGAATCTAAGAAATTAAATACTGAAAATATATCTAAGAGTCGGCATCGAAGAGAATGGAGAGACCCAAAGCATGAACCAACCGAACAGCCTTCTTTTCGGAGTTCTGAGGTTTTTGATGCAGTAATGGAGGATACGAATCATCACACGGTCGATCTTGAAAAGCGTTCTGCATCACCTCGAGTTTCACAGAAGAAAAAAAGAAGTCGGCAGGATGAGCGAGAACAATCAAAGGTTTGGATCATATCCTTTTATGGTACCCTTTCTTTTCCAGAAGGCGAAACTCATATTGACTGCGTCATCATATACTGCCATTCAGTAATGCAGTAGAGATAGTTTCAGTTGTGTGCTTTGTATGTAATTAAGGGGAGGTTTTACTTCTGAGTTATCAGTGTATTGTATGTCTTGGTTCTTTCCTGGCTGGTTTTCCGATCATCTTGTATGTTGGTCCGCATTGGAAAGACGTTATCATTAGTTTAAGTAGGCTTGTTTCGAAAAAGGAGAATCGCCATGGCTTTGTGTCTGCATGATTACTTACTTTTCAGTCATAATCTTTTCATGCAGAGGGAGAAGGAGACAGTTGCACTAGCAACTATTGATGCTCCTAGGAGGCTACTACAATTTGCAGTGCGGGATGCTTTAGGAACTCCAAAGGCATCTAGTTCAGTCAAAGAGCCCTCCCTCAAGCGTCTTCGGTCAGTTGTATCTACATCCACTGAAGAGCCACCGCCACAGGTTGATCGCCCTAGGAGGATCCAGTCTATTGCTAGAGTTCCAGGGGGCCCCATGGCTACTGTAATCAAGGCTGTGAAGGAAGCTGCTGAAGATGTAACAAAAGTCAAAACCCCAAGAAGTGTGTTTGACCGTCTTGGTCGGGATTCACCAGCAGTCGAGACTACAGTAGAATACAGGGATGTCGCTATGGATGAGGAAGAATACGCATTTAAACTCCGCCGGGGAAATCATAGAGGTTTGACTTCCAACTTCATGGCTGAAAGTGGAGATGACATGGGTATGGATGATCGGGATTTGGAAGTTCTGCCAACTGGCACGTCTCGTGGTGGCAGTGACGTACACCGATTTAAGGTTCAGCACAATGCTGATGATTTTGTGCCGAATAAATGTCCTGATCAATCTGTTCAGCATGCAAATGTTTCATGGAAGCAGCCTCTTCCACATCAATTGCAGCTAGCTGCACGATTGGAACAGCATCCCCGAGACAATGAGAAACATACAGGGAAAGTTGGTGCTCAGATTATGAAGGAGAACAGCAACCCTATTGTGGTTGCTCTTAGCAATGTACGGAACTACTTTTCTTTCAGCTCTCAGACTTCTATCATGACTTCTTTTGTCTCCTCTGGATATAATATTGTTTATTGATAATTTTCTGCTGATGTTGTAAACAGCTAAAACCTGCTACAGACCATAAAGAACCTCAGCAGACATTGCCATCTACGCCTGGTATGTTCTAAACACTATTATTAGGGTATGCTTGTTTTAGCTTTTGCTGCATAAAAAGATCCAGTGAAGGAGTTTTCCGTAAAAGGCGAGTTTGATAGAATATGAGATGTTAGGAATAAAAAGTTAATTCATGGGATGGTGGATAGTATTGTATATAGAAAAATAAAGAAATGCGTAACTTTTGGAAATTGACTACTATGTGTATAACTTCAAGAATAGATTCTTAGATGAAATGGTTCTTTTTAGCTAGGTGGTGTTCGGTTTTTTTTTTTTTTATAGAATAGTATTTCTAAAAAATCAAAATGTCGAATTCAGGTTTTTAGGGTGAAACAACCACAGCCTTAATGTCCAATGCCGATTGTGTTTAATAAACACTTGTTTCTAGTCTTTCAGCATCTGTTTGTCTGATTCTTTATTTTTAATTTATCTTGCTTGTTGATATTTGCAGGCTCACTTACAGCTGGTCGACCTGTAGAAGATGCCGAGTCTAGAACGGTTTTCGTGAGCAATGTAACCACCTTTGCTCCAAAGAGCTGTTTGCAGGACTTTCTGCTGCTGCTTCTTCATCCTTGCTGATAATTAAACTATTTCTGACGGCCTGCAGGTTCATTTTGCTGCCACCAAGGACAGTCTTTCTCGGCACTTTAATAAGTTTGGTGAAGTGCTTAAGGTGGTTATAGTAACTGATGCTGCAACAGGCCAACCTAAAGGGTAAAGTGTTTGAGAGTCTTTATTTCTCGATTCATCTTTTCTTTAAAAATGAGTGTGCCCTAAATGGATTCAATATGGGCTGCAGGTCAGCTTATGTAGAATTCACGAGGAAAGAAGCAGCAGACAACGCTTTGTCACTCAGTGGAACTTCTTTTATGTCGCGGATTCTCAAGGTAGGCGAATCTTATGATTGCTGCCATTGTAGGGGTCGTTTGGAGCCTTTGATTCCGGAAATGCTATATCACAAGAATATGCGTATGAAGATTATGTGTATACTAAGAATGTGTGGGTTTTAAGAATTCATAGTTTGGAAAACATAAAAGAATGCATGGATTCTGAATGTGTGGGTTTTAAGAATTCATTTTTCGTAAAATTTAAAAGAATGCATGGATTCTACCTTAAGTGAACTATGGATACAAATCTCACCTAAAGGTGAGATTCACTATACATCATTTTCTATGTATTCTCAATACATGCATTCTCATAATGCAACGTTTAGAATCAGTGGTACCAAACGAGGTTCGTTTATGCTTGGTTGTTGCTGTTATGATGCTTTAGTTTCCTGAACTGCAGTCTTTGATTGGGGATGTATCTCTAATCCCAAAATTATACCCTGATGGAAGATATCAAGGATCATGCTTCTTTACGCTGCTTGTAGCATATTTGTGAAGTAATATGTCTAAATCCTGCTCTCCATTTTTTTGCAGGTGATAAAGAGAAGTGCTGCAACCCAAGAAGATTCTCCTCCCACGATGGTTTGGCCACTTGGTGTCCCACGCGGCTCCCCATATGGGGTTGCCAGGTTTTCGAGATCCCCTTTTGTTCGGGGCATCCCCGGTGGGGGTGCATTCCGGGGCCGCTTTAAGCTTGGTGCCAGGAGTATGCAGTGGAAGCGTGGTGCTCAAGGCAGCAACGCTGATGCCACTATTACCAGGAGCAGCAGTGTTAATTCCCCTGGCCCGCGCAGTCTGACTTATGTCAGGACAGAACCTAAACAGGAGGGGACATCAGCTGCTGTTTAAGAAGCAATTCCACAGCTGTGTTTTTGTGTTTTGGCCGCCAAAGGATTAGTTCTTCTTCAAGAAATGCCCGAACCAGACCTGATGCCATGATGCAGTTGGTGGATGAAGGGAAGGTAACTTCTTGTTCTGGCTGGTGGAAGTGGCTCCTCCATCATATGGTTTGATTTATTATAGCGCAGCGAGTAACTAAGCTGGGTGGGGGAATTCTTCTGTGAATAGAAAATGGGAAGAAGTTGATTTATTTGTCGGATAATTTATTTTCTGTTTGAATTTGTGACAGCTTTGCCCTTTCTGTTTTCTGATTTTTCTTTTCCCTCTTCTGTTGCTGCTTGTTTGGAGGAAAAATAGATAACACCATAAAAAAATATGTAGAAAAAGGGTATTTGGAAAAAAGCCAAAAGAAAGAAGAAGAAGAAAAAAAAAAGAACTTATAAACTAAATGAAAAACATATATATTTGTGGAAGAACACAGGGTCCTCCCTTTGTCATTGCCTGTGTATTGCTTGTGTATTTTTGCCTTGGTCTGCTGCTTTTTGACGAGATCTGGTTGAGCTATTGTAATAAGCAACTCGTAACAGAGTTGTATAGTATTCTGCAGGGAAAATGTCTGGTCTTTTGATTCTTTGTGATGTTCTACTGATTGGAACGCTAGAAATTCCTGAATTCCCCTACAGGTTTAGTGAAAGGGAACATTTCGAAATTCATTGGTTTAACATTTTCGTAACATCATTTCAAGTTATGAATAACGTGGTTAACTCAGAAGACAACTCGATGCATGACATCATGTTATGGATTTCGTTATAGAAAAGGCTGTCCATCGTTCGTTCAAATCATGATAAACGCAAGATGCGATGTGTTCGAACTATAGTCAAATTGCCAGCAATTCGGATTAAGCCGAAGGCCTTTACATTGCGAATGTGCAAAAACTCTAACCTCAGCTGGATGGTAGAAGTCATTGCGGTGGTGATCATTCAATCAACTGTTGTATTAAAATCTAAGCACATTGACAGTACGTAGCAGAATGCCAAAATCCCAAACCCAAATGGAGAAACTTTCCTACCAAGCAACACCTCCATTGCTTCACGCCAACAACCTCGGGTACAAAGCGAACCCCATTCCCACACCCACCCCAACAGCGCACAAGACGGTAGCCCCGCGAGCCCTAACCAAGAACACGTTCAAATTCTTCACCACCTGGAGCGCCAGCGTCAAGATCTGGAGCCTGCCCAGCTCCTCCATCTTCTTGAAGAAGTACATGGGCTTCAGCGACTGCCTCAACATGAACGCCAGCGCAAACGGGAACCCGAAAGCCACCGCGCTCTGGACCGAAACTTCCACGATCGGCGTCCCCCTGGTGACGTACGAGATCCAGGACCCGATCCCGAGCTGGATCAGGCCCAGCCCGGCCATCGCCCTGCTCAGAGAATCGATGTTCTTCATCATCCGCTCCAGCACGGCTCTGGTCTCGTTGGCGAGGGAGGAGAGGTCCCGCTCCACGGTCGGGCCTTCGATCTCCTGGTGCTTGAAGTCCGGGTTCTTGCTCGGGTACTCGGATTCCGGTTTTGTTGCTTCTTCTGGCTGGGAGCTGGAGGAGGAATAGGGGAAGGTTGGGGTTCGGAAAGTGGACGGCGGGAGAGATTGAATTGGAGCGCGGGAGCTGAGGATGGAGTACGATCGGGGAGAATCGAAGCCTTTCGATTCGGCTAGGGCGGAGAGTCCAGTTGGGAGGGTTGAATCGAGATAAGAAGGGTTTAAGGGATTTCGAGTGAGGAAGTAGGAGGGGATCGGAGAATGGGAGGAGGGTTTAAGGAAGGCGGACGAGAATCTGCGGGAGAACGCCGCCGCCGCCATGGTTGTTTATCGGTGGAGTTTTCTTTTTTCACAGAGAGACGAGGGAGGGAAGGAAAGAATGGCGATGTTGCGTTAGATCGGAGAACGGGGTCGCGGCGGGATTGGGTGAAGGAGAAGTGGCAGCTGGTTTGTTGGGCACGTACGGTACGCAGCAGCCGACGTTTTCTTTATCTATGGGCTCAAACGCTGGTGCTGTTGGGCCATAGGAATTCAGAAAAAAGCCCATTCGCTGGATTAGCAGCCATTTACAACCCGCGCTGCTCATCGTAAACCGATCTCTGAAAAAACATATGTCTGCCGGCGGCGGCAGTAGAATGCAGATCGACGGGTGGTTGCCGGAGGAATTGACAATCGAGATCTTGTCCAGACTGCCGTCGCCTTCCACCGTCGGCCGATGCCGCTGCGTCAGCAGATGGTGGCGCGACATCCTCTCCGACCCCGAATTCATAAGAAAATCAATCATGCCGCCTGCTCCTCCTAGGACCGCTAGGGTTATGATCCCTCGCCGCGCCACGGCAACGACGCCGTTCTCCATCCACTGCTCCGAAAATCTCCGCCTCCTCGATTCCGGTAAGCTGCCCACCGACTCGGGTCGTGGGTACATCGCTGGTTGCGCCTCCGGTATATTCTGCATCGGCACCGGCATTATCAAGGGGAAAATCGTTCTGTGGAATCCGACCAATTCAGAGACGTACACACTGCCCCGGATTCCGCCTCCGTTCGGCCGTTCCCGCAGCCACGTTATGCCAATTGGGTTTGGTTTCGACCCGGACACCAAGGACTATAAGGTACTCATTTACTTCCAAACCCATCCATGCTCTTCTTCCACTGAATTGCTATCGCGACCAGAGTGGGATTCCCAGTTTCTGGTGTACAGTCTGAGGGGAAATTCCTACAGGCAGATCAAGGGCGTGCCAATTGCGAGGGGCGCCGAAAGGGTTGTTCGGTCTCTCAGCGTCTCCCCGGCTAGGTGTCACTGGATGTGGCGCTCGCGCAACTACGACGATTGTTTCAGCTTTGTTTCCTTTGACATGAGCAAGGAAGCGTTCACGAAGCCGTGGCTGCTGCCCACGCCGCCCCAGTGGCCATTCGAGCTGCTTATGGAGCATTCGTTTCACATGGCACGAGATGACGAGTCGTGCTTGATCGTGGTTTCCTCGAAAATGGGAGTGGTGGGAAAGGCGGGGGGGACGACGACGAAGGGTATTCCTCTTCCTGCTGTATCAGGTTGTACAACGTCGTCCAGGGTATTCCTCTTCCTGCTGCTCCATATGGTGGAATTTTTCCTCGTTTGCAAGTGCCGGGGCTCTGGAAGCAAGGGAAGCTATTGCTCAGGTACTCCATGGATCCTGGCAGCGAGCTGGTGCGTGTGTTTGATCTAGATTGGTTCGGATGTCGAGATTGGTTCGGAAAGAGATGGTTATTTGGGATTCATAACTTATCTTCCATCCACAATGTCTCTGTCCCCTCTTAACCCACTTCGAAGGAAGAAATAAATGTCGTCTGATTCAAAATGACATTTGATAGTATGTATTTGTAGGAGCATGGCTGTTTTCCATTACTATTGCCTAGCTAGCTATATACAGAGTATACAAAGCTCATTCGACGTTTGGTAATTGGTCTAGGTTCTTTAGATGTTCTTTCTCGCCTCTTTCTCGTAGGTTTTGGTAGTATGGTTACCAATGTCTCCAATTCCATTAGCCCTACTTTCTTTATTCATAACATTACATCGTTGTCTTCACTGTTTTACATGCTCCTCATATGAAAGTCAGACATTCTATACAATATGCTAAATTGATGATTAATATTGGGAATGGTCGCGAGGCCTCGTCATCAAACTAATTTGGTTAGGATGCAGTGGCGGAGGCAGCATTTCAAACCGTCCCTGTTCTCTTTTCATAATTTAAATATATACTTATTTAATAAAAAATAATTAAGATTATTTATATTTAATTCATTCATTCATATATTAAAAATAACCGATTATATAATCATTGTTTTCAACAACCACGAAGGAATTTAATATTGTGAAAGAAATGCAAAAACATTCGTTGTCTACACTATTAAAAGTCTCTTTCAATGTATCTCACTAAACAATAATTAGCAAACTGGTCGCCAAATCTACTTGGAAACTTGTTCTTAATATAACTCAAAGCTCGAAATGCTCTTTTATACTTGCGGTTGTAATTGGTAGAATCAAAACTAGTAGATTGTCGTTGTCGCTAGACAATTTCAGAGTTTTTGAGGAAAAGATCGAATAGGCATAAGAAGAAAAGAGATTTGATTAGGTCTTTATTACAATTGGAATTTTTTTTTTGGTAGTATAATAAATTAATTTTATGTCAATTTTTGAATAAGTAATGAGTTGTGTTGTAGTGACGAAATATAATATTATATATATATATATAAAACGTATTTTTTTCCTCCAAAATTTACCCTGTTTCAGGACAAGGCCAAAAGGCCCTGCCTCCGCCTATGTTAGCATGTCAAAAACTAGTTTCAGTTTTTGTCTTTTTGACAATTCATGCTCACAAATTATATTTTCAGTTTTCACATATTCTTATAAATTATTCACGCATATATTTTATTTTATTTTGTTCACATAATCTCATCTACAAATCAATTAAAAATTTCACATAATTGTCTGATAAATTCAATTAACTGATCACGTAATGTTGTTAACCATATTCTTATCAAATTTGTTTTTTGTTTTACTCTCAAATAAGAGACTTTTTTCCTAATGAATAAGTAAAAGCGTGTTACGTAGTTCCACTTCGATGTGTTTATCACGAATCAAGATATTAATCCAAAACATATACCATGACATAAAATCAAAATAAATTAAAGCACACTAATGTCAATATGTCATCAACTCCAACCGGAAGGCATTTTTCATTAATCAAATGTGTGTTCATATCAATGCATGAAAAATTAAAGGAAATTAAAAATCATAAAAGAAGAGCCAATACCAACAAACAATAAAAATTAATTTTCCTCATCGAAAAAAAAACAAAATGATCGATCTCCATATTAATTTTGCTGCAGGCTCTTCCCGTTAATCTTCCTCTTCCACCAGAGTTGAGAATTTATTGCAAGTAGAAGGCAACGAAGGAGACAATGGAAGCACCCACCAACGACCCAAGAGCCGGCAAGACACCAGCTGCACCACCGCTTGCCGGTGCACCAGCGGCGGCGGTGGGGCCGGCGGCAGCGGCAGGGCCAAAAGCGGCGTCGCTAGGGGCAGGGGCGGCGGCCTCCTGAGCCAAAGCTGCGCTCATTGAGGCGGCAGCGAACACGACGGCGGCGCAAGCAACCTTCTTCATCTCCATTATGATGATTGATGGAAAGAGTAGAGCAAAAAGAGATGATAATGAAGAAGAAGAAGAAGAAGAAGAATTTGGTTTTTTTCCCTCTTCGTATGATCTCTCTTACTCTCTCTCTCTCTCTCTCTTTATTGTGTTTAATTTTGTGCCGTGAGGATAAGCTGTGGGATAGGGTGGCCTTTTATAGTGATTATTACAAGGTTTAAAATTATTTGCACTTTTTTTTTTTGTGTTAGAAGACAACTAATTATGTTGGGGAGTTAATAATTGTTAATTCCTCCACTAATTTAGGGTAACATGGAAGGCTTGGGTGGTGGGAATCATATGATTTATGATTGAGAATAATTATGATTAGAGCGAGTCTTGTGGTGGTGGAATATTTAGGTTGTAAAGTTGAGGAATTTTGTTGAACAAGTTTTCTAATAATTAATGCATCAATAATAATTCTAATGGAGAAAATCAGCTTCACTCTTTAAGGTGGGAAAATTAAGATGTTGAGTTGTTGATGAATCATTGAAGATAAATTGTAGGGCATGTTCATTGTGTTAGAAAACTTGTACTGTTATTTGGGTAGGGTTGTATTTGTAAAATAATTATTTTGCTGTTGAGACTTTTTTTTTTTTGTGAATTAATTTATCTGGTGAAGCGGATCGTATTCAAATAAATATGAAAATTCCAAACTCTACCATTTAGGAAACCGGAGCTCTAGTGTAACTTCACATACTCATGAACACAATCGTCGATGCAGTTAGAAATATATATGACTCGGTGAGTTTATGTTCTCCGCACTGACCAAAGTTTGGAGCTTGATTTCACTCCTAATTTAGATGACATGACCATGTAACATTCAATTATCATATTGTAGAATCAATTGTTGTTTAACTTTCTCGTTTAAATTCATCAAGTACACAACTCCGTCATATAAAAAAATACATATCCAGAACGTGACAAAAATCATCCTAACGATTCATCTAGGAAAGGAAGATAGAGTATGCATGAAATTAAGGGCATGTTTAGAGGTTAGATGTATTTGTTAAATTTGTGTATTATCATATGATGTATTAATTCGATGCATGTATTATGAAAATACTTTGTTTGGAGGGACAATGATGAAACAAAAAGTCGGGTAGACAATCCCTTGTTAACAATCTCATCTTTTGGTAGAGATTGATAATCATTCATTTTGAGTGATTATAGGTGGGCCCAACAAAAGGGTAATACATGCATTTTAACTTAAAGTGAACCAAAAAAACGACTTAATCTTATCATTACATGTATTTCCTAAATACCATATTCCAAAATCCCAAATCTCAACCTCCAAACGACGCCAAACTTTTACTTCATGGATTTGATATCGTACCACCACTTATGTACGTAGGATAGGGATCAACATTTCTATTTGAGTTTCTCACAAATACATAAAAAAAGTGAACATCACAACAAGAGATAATACTACTTTGTTTAGGTATACACTAAAATTAATAGACTAAAATATTGTAAAGACCCTTATACTCTAATCATAGTGATACTTCTTGGGTTGTACGTGTCGGTATTACCCTAATTAATTTATGCTTTCCCTTGTCACCATCTCAAATAAAATCAAAAGTACACAAAAGAAGGATACATATGATTAACATGCATGTGAGTTAGGGGTAATTTAAAACTCAAAGCCAGTGTGTATCTATAACATGGTGTAATGATAGTGAGGATTATAGAGGTATATGTAATTGTGTAATCACTAGTTTAACTTGCCAATATTCGTAACGATGTAGAAATGAATTATTTCCTTTATTCTTGTCTCTTGAAAAACGATTCGGACTTCCAGATATTTATTTCGTACAATTGTGGCCGAGAATTCTAACTCTCGATGATTATAATCAAACAATTAATTCCAGATGTCAACAATCAATTCTTCGAGTCATGCTTTCGTGTTTCTCTCTTTAATCTTTCGTTTTCGTTGATCAATTGATTTAGCGTAAATTATCAATCGATTCATAAACTATGTAATGAAGGATAAACACGCTATGAATTCATCCCGTATGGAACAATGACAACGTATTCTCGTAAATTTTTTTTTAAAACTCAATTCAATCCCGTTCCCATAATACATATGATGATGAGTCATACACATACACACATTGCATAAAGTTTTTAATAAATTTAAGGGAGCAAGTAGGCAACAAGTGTAGACATCAGGGAGACAGCCACGAACGGCACGCTGCCGGCAACGGCGGCGCTCTTCGCTGCGGCTTCAGCAGCTGGTCCGGCGGCAGGCCCACCGGCGGCAGGACCTCCGGCGACAACGTCAAGGGAAGGGGCGGCGGCGGGGGCCAGCTCGTCGGCCAGAACTGCGCTCATTGAGGCGGCGGCAAAGATGACAGCGGCGCAGGCAACCTTCTTCATCTCCATTTTGATAATTCTTTTTATATATAAAAAAAGATTTTAGAGATGTGCCTGTGCTGCTCTCTTTGCTTATGATCTTCCTTTTTATTGTATTTTTTGCTTGCTGCCTGAGGAATGAAGGAGGGATATGGGGAACGTATTTATACGGTTTTGCATGGAAGCTAATTTTGTGTGGCTGGGGTGATGATTTTAGGCTTTAATTAGATAGTTTAATTTTAGTCATATTCGGTTTAATATATCACACCAATTTTGGTTAATGAAGCTCCTAATTATAACGGGGTGTGTGGAATCGAAGGAACTAATGTACATGGTTGACAGAGTATTTACCACACATTATGCAATTGTATTGATAAATGATATACATAGATCATAGTTAGTTATTTTTTATTGCATGTTAGAAAGTTTGTATTTAATAAATTATGAGTTGGAAGTCACGTCATCTTTTTATTTTCTATTATTTAATATTTTGATAATTGTATGAATTTTTATTTGCTTCAATGGCAAATGAGTTATATTGAGGTGTGTGCTGTATTGAAATTAAAATGGATATGATATTGTTAAAATTATTGATCCGATAGTAGGAATTGCAAATGAATTTGCCTGGATAAAGGATGGCATAACAAAATCAAGGAAGTTGACATATGTTTAATAGGTTCCTTTTTATCTCTTGTGACCATCACATGTACATTATCAAGGTTCCTTTTTATCTCTTGTTAACACGATCTACAACTTCCTAGTGAATAAAGCGGTATCGTATCATTAAGTTTCCTTTGTTGGTAGGAGCCTTTGAGGGAATGTGTAGTGATCATAGCAATGAGGTGGGGTGGAGCAAGTATCGATCTTAAGGATCATATATGTATTTTGCACTAAATATGGATCATCTACCCTGACAAATACTGGGATGGAATGGAGCAACAGAGCTTGATCCATTCACATGTTATTTGAATAAAAAACCCGTAAAAGTTCAACTAGTTTACATTTGGTAAAACTGAAAAACATATATAATAGATTGAATAATTGATCAATATACTTAGGGGTCGTTTGGATTAGGGAATCTGTGCAGGGATTCTACTACAATTTCTAGTCATTAGGGATTTTATCATAATCGATTCGTTTGGATAGGAATAAAAGAATTAAGTATTTTAGCAATAAGAATTTTGAAATAGCTAATTACTCCCAAGTATTTCTAAATCCCTCATCTTATTTAATTTTTTCCCAATCTCTGCCCCTCTTATCCCAGTTCCTCCTTACGATCCTTCCCTTCTTCCTTTCTGTCCCTGCACGAGATCAAGCAAAGGCTACGACGCTCATCTCGTCGGCTATTTCAACGGAGTTTGACTAGCTCCGATCTACAACAACAATGGCGGCCTGATTTGGGGGATCTCCTCAATCGATAGAGGGATTTTCTAGGTGGGCTATTTTGGGTATTTCGTCATGGGCATCTCGCAAAAACTGTCGCAGACTCCAAGCTCCTGTCGAAGCCGACATCGATTTCTGGGTCCCATCGACGACGAAGAGAGGGGAAGGGAGGCAGATCTGGAGCTACCGGCGCAGTCACATCTCTCATCTCTGGTTCTTTGCGACGATGAGAGTCGAGAAAGAGGAGAGTGAGCGAACGTCTCCCAGATCTGATTCTCACCGGCGCCGCTCTACGTCTCTGGTTCTGATGCTCACCGGCGCCGCTCTCCGTCGAATGGGTTCAAGTTGTTCCTCTGCCGGATTGAGTGAGTTCACCAGCCTTAGCATAGTCGCCGGTCCTCTGCGAGTTCACTGGCAATTAACGAAGTCACCGGCGGTCGAAAAATTATCAAGGTCGCCGGCCTTCCAGTCAATGTTTCGTTCAGAAAGCAAATATCAGGAGAGGAGGAAGAAGATAAGTGGGTAAAATGGTCTTTACACATTTTGAGCCCAAATTCCTCATGTATTACCAAACAAGTTAACTGGCCCAAATTCCTCATTAAAATTATCTAGGTTTTTAAATCAGAGATTTGAGCTCAAATTCTTGAAAAATCCCTCAAAATCAATTGCCTGATCCAAACGACCCCTTAGTTCAAAGGCACGCAAATCTCTGCACCTACTCAAAGTTTGAGTGGAATAAAAAATATGGTTAAAAAGAAGTCAAAAGAGGAAGATGCACTATATTGAGGGATTACAAAGTCCTGACTCATTTAAATTATTTTGTCGAGTTCTTTAGAGAGAGTTGTTTCGCGCCCCTAGATATTCTCTATCTGCCCATCTGTGTCGGTTTCTGAAATAAGTACCCTTTTGTTGAAGGTTGTTTGAGCTTTTCCCGAGAGTATGGCACAGGTTACTTCAGCGTTGTAGCGCATGATACTCGAATATTTGAAAGAGAACTAACTTGATGTTCTTGATAGATTAATTAAAGAAGATAAGTTTTTGAATCGAGGGAAGAAACTGATTGGCTATTATGCCATATCCATGTAGTTTGGAGAGCAGGAATCGTGGCATCGGTACTTGATATTTTCCGGATGCTCGTGATGGTTTTCATGAACTCAAGATCAAGAGATTTCGATCAATCCATCATGCTTTAATTAGACTAACAAGTGAATTCAACACGCTCATTGAATAACTCTTTTATTAATCATAGTTATCGTATGATTAATGCTATATATATCATCATTCATCTTGATGGTCTTGAACTCAAGATGAGAAGATTTCAATAAGATCACACTAAAATGACAAGTACTAAATTCAACACACTTATTATGTAACTTTCTTATCAATTATAACTATATGATTAGTATTATGTATAGTCATTCATTTGGATGACCTTGAAAGATCAAGAGACTTTAATATAATAAAAAAAATATCATTAGAATTTAACTAGAATGATATGGGAATTCAACATAGTAACTCTATAGTTGATATAATCATATAGTTTAACATTATGCATAATCATTTGTCAAATAGTTCGTTATTTATTTCTCCTCGTATTTTTATTTCTATTTTGCTCGCGTAATATTAAATTATAAGAGTTTTTTTTATTATTATCATACAATTATAAGTTGTGCTCTATAAAGAACAAATTAAAACTGAAATTTATATTAAATTGGGAAATTAAAGATCGATATGGCGCAAGCCGCTTACAAATTCCACATCACAAATGAATTCATTCTGGAACCTGGACCAAATTACATAACGATCCATATATAATTGGAAAATTAAATTAATTAAATTAATGCAACAAGTAGGCAACGAATGTGGACACGAGGGAAACAGCCATGAACGGCAAGCCGGTGGCGGCGACGGCAGCGCTGTGTGGTGCCTCGGCGGTGGGTGCAGCACCGCCTGCCGGCCCGGCAGCGGGTCCGCCAGCAGCAGCTTCCAATCCCGCTCCGGCTGCGGCGGCGAGAGGCGATGGGGCGGCGGCGGCAACAGCCTCCTCGGCGGCCAAGACTGCGCTCAATGAGGCGGCAGCGTAGACAATAGCGACGCAGGCAACCTTCTTCATCCCCATTTTTCTGTTTTTTTTTTTTTGGATTAATTAATAAAGATCAAGAAGATTGAGAGAGGGAAATGTGCCTGGCTGCTCTTTTATTTTCTTTTTTAAATACTTTTTTACTAAAGCAGACAGACACAAAAAAAAGCTATTTATCTTTATTTGTTTGCTTGCAGCCTGAGGATGAAATGATGGGTAATGAAGTGTATTTATACGGATTTATTTAACAGAATGCTTTTGTTAGGACGGTGATTAATTATAGTAAATTGCTTTCATTTTTGGCATTAGTTACGAAATATCCGGCTTACCACCCAGTTATTTTGGATTAATTATAGCGTAGCCAGCCCAATCCAAGAGCCCAAAGAAATTCAGTTAAAGGTATGGGCTAAGCCCATGTATTAAACAAACTTTAGCGCCGGCGCCAGCCCACATAGAAATCAACTACTTTCCTTTCCTATTTCCTAATCCCATCCAGTGCAGTCGAGAAGAAAGGAAGGAGACAAGGAGTGAAAATGGCGTCTCACCTCTCAATTCCACTTCCTTCTCTCTTCTTCTTCTTCCTCCTCCTCCTTCCCATCTTCTCTCTCGCAATTCCATCTTCCCCACAGCTAGACGTGTGCATCGTCGGAAGCGGCATCGCTGGCTCCTCCCTCTCTCATTTCCTCCGTCAATACTCCACTGATGCCTCGAAGGATGAGTCAACTCTCCGGATTCGAATGTTCGAGCGGCACTCGGTCGTCGGCGGAAGAATGGCCACCGTCACGATCGGCGGAGATACCTTTGAGGCCGGTGCTTCGATCCTCCATCCCAAGAATTTACACGCCGTTAACTTCACCGAGCTGCTCAAGTTGAATCGGAAGCTGCCTTCCAGCTCCGACGACTCCATGTCGCTAGGGATTTGGGACGGCGGCAAGTTCGTGCTCAAGACTGTGACCGTCGATTCCGCGATCCCGTTCGTTCAGAAGATCGTCTCCTGGGCTAACTCGCTCTACATCTTCCTCCGTTACGGGTTCTCGCTTCTGAAGATGGATAGTTTCGTCGAGGTACAGAATTCATTGCTTACTTCAGTAACATTCGCATTTCGAATTAGAGAATGTTGATTGAGAATGTCAAATTTTACAGTTTGTGTGCGTTTGAATTTTTTGATTGCAGACTACTGTAGACAAGTTCTTGAAGTACTACGAGAGTACTGAAGAGAGGCCGATTTTTGCAAGTGTGGAAGAGATGCTCAAGTGGGCTGGTCTTTACGATCTCACCACTCGAACTCTGGAAGATGAGCTGCTTCATGTTGGACTGTCGCCATTGCTGATCCGTGAGCTGGTCTCTGTAAGTATTGAGTTCCTTTCCTGTTTTCATCAGCATTGAATCTTTCATAGTTTAGATGGTGAAGCTACCTAGCTAAGAAAAGATAAGGGAGATGAGTTCTTTGGCATTGCTGGCTAGCTCGATAATCTTCGGATTTGGGTTAGATAGTCTCTGGACAACTTTACTCTTCAGCTGTTAGAAATGGCAACGGGACGGCTATGTCATTGCCATCTCTGCTGAAGAGAGGCCGATTTGTTTTCAAGTGTGGAAGAGATACTAAAGTAGGCTGGTCTTCTTTTATAATCTAGACGGGCAGTATGTTTTTTTAGTATCAGCTTGAGTTGCTATGCTATGGCTTCCCAATATTTTGTTTCTGAATTGCGAAATGAATTTATAATCAGGTTATTACAAGAATCAACTATGGTCAAAGCTGCCATATCAGTGGGCTAGCGGGAGCAGTTTCCTTGGCAGGCTCCGGTGGAGGATTATGGGCCGTTGAAGGAGGGAACTGGCAAATGGCAGCCGGTCTGATCAACATCTCAGATGTGGAGCTCCACCTCAGTGAAAGAATATCTTCCATTTCCAAACTTCCCGAGTATTATGAGCTTAATTCAACTACGGGCAACAGCTACATATGCAATGTTACTGTGATAGCTTCTCCACTGGACGAATTGAAGATCCAGTTCACGCCTCTCATTTCAGTTCCTGAAAGAAAACTACAGCATACTTATACAACTTTCATCAGGGGATTGCTCAACCCTGTAAGAACCCTGATGATTTTTAGTTTACCTGTGACAGTTCATTTACTTGAAGTAAATGCTTGTTTCTAATTATGATGCTTTGTTGTTGGCGAAGGCATATTTTGGGCTGAGAGCTGTTTCGGATTTACCGGAACTGGTGGGCACAATCGAGGATCCTGAGATTCCCTTTTCGAGCATTTCTGTGTTGAAGCAACACAATGAGACGGACATGACTTACAAAGTATTCTCCAGGAAAGAGATGTCGGATGCATTGCTAGATGACATATTTAGGTAAGCTGTTCTTCTGACCATGGCTTCTTCTGTATGAGTGATATGACTTATGAGGATGCTATGAAAAATACTTTAATGTCCAAATATTTTGCTCTGTCGAAAGATCATAATCATTTAGCATATACAACTTCGAATTTTTCCTGATCAAAGCTAGTAGTTAAAGAAGTATGGTTGGTGTTATTGCTGTTGCAGCTCAAGAATGGAGACAATTCGGATAGATTGGGGAGCATACCCTCATTACAAGGCTCCAGAAGTGTTTGCCCCCTTCATCTTGGACGATCGACACCTGTATTACATCAATGCATTTGAGAACGCCGCCAGCACCATGGAGACGAGTGCAGTTGCAGCTGAAAACATAGCTCGGCTCATCTTGGCAAGACTTGATGAGGAATCATCCTCGACTTCATCATGTTCGGATACGAAGCTCGCTGCCACCGATGAGGGGGAGCTACTACATTCTGATTTGTAACAAGTAACAACTCACAACTGTGCATCCCTTTATACATGGGTCATGAAAACTAAACGAATTCCGCTATGCAGGTATGTCTTTGTGATACTGTAAGATATAAGTCCCACATGGTCATGACGGCCTAACAAAATAAAGAGAATGTACAGCTTTGATTTGCTATGTAAACTACGAACCTGTGCATGGTTTGCTACGTTGTACTTTATTTTGAAGTATAAATAGCTTTTACAATCTAGATCTCGACCATACAAGGAAAGCGGATGATCTCCAAGCCATTTTAGCATTGAGCAACAGTGTAACCGGTTATGTATACACGCTTGGAAGTTGCTGTTTTCAATATATCACCAAACCATAAACCATTCGTCGGAAGCATAAATATGAAGCAATGAACTACACTGCCAATGTTGATCGCACATCACAATCCAGACCGAGTAAATCGTACATATTGACACGTAAAACCTACAAATCCAATCGCAAAACCCATGTCGACTGGCACTAAGCCTCCATTTCCTTATGGTTTCAAGCAAAGAATCTCACAGTACAAATGTATCCCATACACCAGAGAGCCATGGATCCAAGCACGACCTGAAGTTAATTTTGGTAATCATGCTGCCAATGGTTCCTCCAGAACTGCATTTTTGAATGTCATCGAGTTAAAAGTGCTCACAGCGGCTAAAAGGAGAGGGAGAACCATTGAAATAATAATATGGGAGAAAATAAACCTTTTTGCTTTCTTGGAGCCTCCTTTGAAGCACTTTCGGTATCGGAAACAACTGGTTTTTTAGTTGGTACATCAGGAAGATCCAATTTTTCTTCCTCCTGTTCCTTGGATGGCAAGGTGGTTGGTGCTTCTGGCATATCGTGAACCGCCATCTGGAGCATCACAAAAATTAGATGTTAGATCGCCTTAGAAGAAACACCGTGTATAGCATCTCAAGACATGCTATGGATCTCACTCTTCAAAACTCAAATTGGACTGTTCCTGTGTAACCTAAGTAATATATATGATGGACAAGCAAATTTTGGTGAAATTATGAATTACCATGAAGTAGCTAGTTAAAGTAAGCTAATGGGGTACTGAAGCTAAGGGTAGATCAACTAATTCTGCAATATAATGCAGAAGAGAGACATTCCAACACATTCCAGAAGTGCCTTGGTCAAATGATTTCATCAAGCAACCGAATGTAGATTCGAAAGACGAAGTATGGATCTGGAGTTACATATTTGAATGCGGAAGCAAAATACTATCCTTTTGACGAGTTATTGTCAAACTAGTACCAATTATAACTTCCAGTTATCACAAACCTATAATATCTCAACCCTTAGAAACAAATAGCAAATGTGCCATTCAAGCGTAAGGCAAAACCTGGGATCTGATAGGTGTAGCTAGTTAAAGTGGAAAAATGCAAATACGCATAAGCACGGTTGTATGTAGTAACCAGAAACATACCTGAGTTTCCAAGTTTTCAAATTCAGCCAGAATCTCCTCTTCATCCTCTGCCGACAATTTCTCTCCCAGTATTTCATTGATTTCCTTCAATCAGACACAAATTCAACCCCATTTAGCAAACAATTCCCACAGAATTAAAGCACATGGTTAAGTGGCTTAGAACTTAGAAGTTTAAACTTCTCCAAATGCTTCTGCTTTCCATTACAATCCTTCAAACAAAATAACGATCGGCCAAGAAGGAGAGATAAGAATTGGAATCAAACTCACATCTTGGTAAGCTTTAGCTTCAGCTGTATCATCCATCAACTTCTGAACATCATCCAAGTTGATTTCGCTCTGTATCGCCTTGATTGCATCATTACCAGATTTCAAACTCTCAAACACCGCCTTTTGCTTGCTCGCCAGTTCAATATCTGCCAACTGATCCCAACCAACACCAGCTCAATTATCTCTCACCCCACAACCTTAATCAAAGTAATCAATCTCCTAATTCGCACTTCACATAAGATGAAATCATAGTCATTCAATCCAATCCAGCAGCTTAATCTAAGAGCTCATCCCATAAACAATTTAAATCACAACCATTCAATCAATTGCAGGAGCTTAATCTAAAGAACTAACCAATTCAAAATTCCACTTACTTGCTGCTCCACATTGATGATCCAGGTATCAACTTGCTTCAACAATTCCTCTTGAGTCTTTTTCTTCTTCAAAGCTAGCAAGGCCCTGTCTTTTCTCTTCTCACGGATCAAATCCTTCGCTGCTTGCTTCTCTGCTTCAATTACAGCTTCAAGCTAGAAAAGAAGAAGAAAAACAAAAAAATCACCCACTTCACGAATCGTAAGGAAACAGAAAAGAATCAATGGAAAATTCAGAAGTTGGGAAGAGCAATTGGGGACCTGCTGCTGGTATTGACCAAGTTTGCGCCTTTGGGTCTTCAAAGAGAGAATTGCTCTGTCCACATCTGTGATCTTGGGTTTCTTCACGAATATGTTCCCCATTTGTTGATGTTCGTGATTCAACTTCAAGCTCTGGGAAGCATCAGTGAACTGTTGGGGTAACCCTAACTTTCCCGGGAAAGAAACGGCGAGAAAGTTAGAAACTTGCGGCAATTTACGAAGAGAAAAGCCGGAATACAAGATGTGAGAGATGGGCTTGCTTCGGTTTGATGACAATTACAATTGCAAGTTTTCCTCGGTGCTAATCGGTTGAACACATAAAATTTAAAATAATAAATCAAGCCTTATAATCCAATTAGCAATTACTAAAACATCAAATAGACATCCCAAAAACATTGTCGAGATAATTTGATCTACACCTTTTTCATTGGTTCTATCTCAATTTGTCATAATATGTATCTTTATTTTTCTTATTTTGACTTATCTTAACTCATATTTTTACTTAATGATATTATACATAAGTGTAAGATTTCATCTTTCAATTAATTAGACTCAATGAATCTATTTTTTCAATAAATAACAAGAGACAATAGTTAGAAATAACCTATATCCAATACCCCCAACGCTCCACAAGGGACAACAATAGAGCTTTATGTCTACTAGTTTTTTACCCGCCCGTTGGGCGGTGTATTTTGTTTGGTTATTTTATAATTCGATATAGTATTCTAATTTTTATTATTACTTATGTTTGTTAATGTAATATATATGGAATTGTAAATCCCACTTACCCTATTTCAGGTATTGTTTCATACTTTTATACCTTTTGTTTATTTATGAATATTTTAATTTTATTAACTGAGCTCTTTGTAGATTGTTCTTTATTGATTTAGAATTTTTTTTATCGAACTCGCCCTTTAAGATTATAAACATAAGAGTTATTCATTCTTTAGCACACAATTGTGATAAAGAAGTTAAAAAATTTACAGCAACAAAAGAAGAAGTTAGAAGAAGAAAATATGCTTCAATTAATAAAAAAATAAGCGAATAGCTTTTTATTTTCTCTCCCTTCTCATATGTCGGTATACGATAATAGAGAATATTCCGATCTAAATCCCATGAATATCGTGTATTATCACTTACACATACAACTTTGGAATAATGAGGAAACTCATTAGCATCCACGTCCATCAATCTTCCACGTACTCGTTTAATTACCTTGAAATGTTCTAGAAAACCAACCACAAACAAAACTATCAGCTGTCACAAACTTATTAAATCAATATTTTCAGCAAATTAAACTGAATATACTTAAATACAATTTATATTTTGTAGAGAGCTACATATCTCATGCAGAAAAGAATTGTGATTTTTACCTAATAACAACATAGAAAAATAATGAAAGGAGCCGTCTTCAATACAACTCAACTCATTTTATCATGCAGATTCCTCATTTGTGAACTGAATATATGCATCAATCCAAATAGTAGTTTGTAAGAAAACAATCATGTCAAAATCAAGCTTTAGTTAGGGATTCAATGCGGAAAAATTCACATTAATGAAACAAACAAATGTCACCGCAAACATGTAGAAATTAAAAAAAAATATTGAAATAGACAATCGAGAAACCACCATTATCATTTTCTTTCTTCTTCGCGACCTTTATAAAACCCCAATTATGTTCCCTTCTACTTATAACCTCTTTGCTACCTACTAATTACTAAACAGATCATCATTGTATTGCTAGATAGTAGCATGTCAATCATGAACATAAAATATAATAAACAACCATCACAACTCTTCTTTCTATTTCAACATCCAAGAAATCGAATTACAATAGGCATTCAAGAAAAACGATTAATTATTCAATCAAATGAGGTATGCCCTAAGTCCAACCAATGAACCCTTCTAATTATATTTTATATATTTAAATAAAAGTATATGACGACCCTTCTCCTTGAAAAAAACAAAGAAGAAATACATTCACTCATCGAGAGTGGGAAAATTTACCATCCAACAGTTATAATTTGGAAGAAATTAAGAAAAGAATGGAAGAAGAGTATAACTTTGCCAGTCAACCGCAAACCATAACGTATCGCTGAGAAAGTGAGACCAGTTGCCAGCTTCAGATCAAGGATGAAGAGGGAGCAGTCGACAACCCTCGGCTTGGTTCACCTCATCTTCACAATGATTAGATGAACTTTTTTCGTTAACATGCAAAAATATGTTACAACTGCTCAAAATTTTGTTATCTAATCGTTGCCTCGTGTAACTCCTGCCTCCTATTCTCATACAAAGAAGAAGAAAAAATCATATGCATTACCATTTCCTTCTCTATAAATTATGAGAATACAAATATTAGAAATCTCAAAAAAATTGGCAACTAATAAGAGGGTTTTGTTTATTTTTATGGTGGTTGACATACTTTCTTGATTTCTTATTTTCAAAGTTGGATTTTATTTCTAGTGAGACAATCAAAATGGGAAATGGGACAGGAACAAATTAAAAGTTTGCATTAATAATTAATATATTTTTATTTAATCGAAATAAATAAGAAGTTTTTTAAAAAATACAATTATTGCTCTGTCAAGTTTATATTGAAACATTTTGCTATAAAATTTATACTTGTTTTATTTGATAGGTATGTACATTATAAAGAAGTGAGTGTTTGATAACAAAAAAACATATAGTCATATCGATCATTTCTCAAAGTCCATTGTTTATCAAACGCTTGTTTTCTCTTAGACCATCGTTTATATTTTGTTTAATTGAAAATATTATTATTTATGTGTCTGTTTTTTTTTTTGCTTCATCAAAATGTAACTTATTATTAAATTTTAGTAAAAATGAGTAGAAAATTTACTTAATTAGATTTAATCAGCTTGGGTTAAAGAAATACGATATATCACTCTCTGTTTCCATCTTTATAGTTTGTTTAATTGAAAAAAAAGATGATTACTATATATGTGTTTGGTTGTTTAAATGTTTCCTAAAAAATTAAATTATTTTAATTTTAGTAAAAATGAGTAGAATTATTAAAAGAAGAGAGAGATAGCTTCATAAATAGATCAATAAATAGTTTTTTGTTTGTAAAAAAATTGTCCACCTTGGCAACTTGTGCATTCACCAAGTGCTTATGTGGCAAGAAGTTATTTTTGAATTGCCATAATATTTAGTATAGATAGATAGATAGATAGATAGATAGATAGATATAGATATAGATATAGATATAGATAGATAGATAGATAGATGTGCAACCTAGTTGGCAGTACTCGGAACCGTCCTAAACTCTATACAAAGAAGATAAGACTCAACTAGCTAATGACACTCATCGAAGAGGGCCCTTCATGAGAATCCACAAGCACCCTTTGGCTAAGTTGTCGATTGGCTACTTTGGCATATCCATCCACGATGTTACGAGGCAAGCGACTTGATACAACAACTTAAATGATATCTCTTGCAGTAAGCAAATCAACAATGTAAGGATCAGACACACCCTAATACCGAAATCCAAAGGCCATACTAGCTTGCCCGTCTAGGCTGCGCACAACAAGGCCTGGCGAGCAACCGGAGATTTGGACAACAACCTCAAAGTTTATCTTCAAAGGGTCATCCGGTAGACACTCCCGAAGAGTCAGAGCCAAAGTAGAGGGATGAGGAGAGTAGACGAGGCAAGTTGAAAGGTAGAGGACACTTCACGGACTTGAGAATATTGAAGGGAAAGCGAACTAACATGTTGTTGGATATTTAAAAAAACACACTTTATTACTAGATTTCCAAATTCTCCACAACATGGATATTGGAGAATAAGTGTTTGGAACTGCACATCTAGCATAGTATGACGCCACCATAAACTAAAATTAAGAGTCGGGGTCACGGAAAGCACGTCGTTTAAATCCACAAAATGACTCATTAGTCATGTGTAACGTTTTATCGAAGACCTTCCGGTCAAGCCCATAACGTGCTCAATGGGTTGATTTAGTGACTCAATTAACCTATATATTGTCCCTAATTTTCATTTATTAAATACTTTACCTTTATTTTATTGTTAAAATAATTTTTTTTAATAAATTAATGGTTTGACTTGATCCTCATTTGATGAGGGCGGATATGAGTATCGAGGTAACTGCCTCATTGTCATCCATACCTACAAACATCAAAGAAGGGACATTTTGGAGGTAATAATGAGCAAGCTAGGGTTCAATAATCGATGGATTCATTTGATAATGGTGTGTGTGTCCACAGTTTCTTTCAGCCTCCTAGTGAATGGTCATAAAACCGATTGGTTCAAACCCACCAGGGGCTTAGACAAGGAGACCCAATCTCCCCCTATCTCTTCCTCCTTGTGGCAGAGGGTTTGTCTGGGTTAATTACGAAGGCAGAGGAGGAAGGGAAAATCATAGGGATAAGAGTAAAGAGAGGATCCCCTAAAATCTTCCACCTTCTGTTTGCGGATGATAGTATCCTATTTACCAAAGCAACCAAACAAGAGAGCGAGCAACTGAAGAGAATTTTGAGTCTCTACGAGAAGGAGTCAGGACAACAGGTTAATTTGGTCAAATCGGGACTGAAAGGAACTGACTTCCAGTCCCAATATTGAGGTGGAAAGAAGAGAAGAGTTGGCTGGGATATTAGGCATGAAAAGCGTGCTTTTCCACGAGAAATACCTAGGAAAGTGGGCAGGGGAAAGAAAGCTGTCTTCGGATACCTCGTGGATAGGGTGCGTAACAAGGTTAAACATTGGAAGAGTAAGCTACTCTCTATTGCTGGAAAAGAGGTTTGATAAAGTCTGTGGCTCAATCACAGATGACCTATGCTATGTCAATCTTCTCGATTCCAGTTGGTGTGTTACAAGAAATTCAAAGACTAATCACCAATTTTTGGTGGGGGCAACAACAGGAGGAGAAAAAGACACATTGGTTATGCTGGGAAGAGGTAAGCAGACCAAAGACACATGGGTCGGGGGATTGGGATTTCGAGATCTAAAGTGTTTCAATACGGCTCTCTTAGGAAAGCAACTATGGAGGCTAATGAAGGAACCTAATTCCCTTGTTTCTCGTGTTATGAAAGCAAAATATTATCCAAATAGAGATACTCTGGAGGCAGACAGAGGATGGAGTTCGAGCTTTATGTGGAAAGGTTTAATGGAAGCAAAAGTGCTAATTAAGAATGATTTTCGATGGAGAGTTGGAAAAGGAAACAACATTGATATTTGGCAAGATCGTTGGCTTCCTAATGGTGAAGGTTTTAAGGTGCAATCCCCAGTATCAAGGGTGGGAAACACTACTTCGGTAGCGGAGCTGATGGACCTCGACAGTAGAAGTTGGAGGCAGGACCTGTTGCAGGCGTACTTCTGCGGTGAGGATCGAAAACAGATTCAAAAGATTCCGATCCCCCATCAACCATGTGCTGATGAAAGGGTTTGGAGCCTAGAAACTACATGGGATTACTCAGTGAAATCTGTGTATAGACTATGGAAGAATAACTGAATAAGGATGAGGAAGAGCTAGGGGAGCTATATACACTAGTTAATTGGGATGGCTTCTGTAAGCTGAACATACCCCCGAAGGTTAGGCTATTTTCTTGGAGATGGATTAGAGATCTTCTACCGAAGGGAAAGCGAATTTTGGACAGAACACAGCGAGGAAATGGTGGGTGTCCTTTTTGTGATTTGCCAGAAACCCAAAAACACATTTTCCAGGATTGTGCGTGAGGGCGGAGAGTGACCAGGTCTACTAACATGCGTCTATTATTCGAGAAGGGAGAGGAACTTACCTGCGAGGAGTGATTCTGCAGTTTGCAGGAGACGGAGAACGACGAGCAGCTGGAGAAATTTCTTGTGGCACTTTGGTTTATCTGGGAACAAAGGAACATCCAGGTGTGGAATAAGAGAAAATTGAAAGAATGGGAGATTATCCCTAAAGTGATGGAATGGCTGAGTGAGTACCTGGAGTTGCAGGAGGGCAAGGACGAGCTGGATCAGAGAAATGAAGAGTGGAAACCGTCCCAATTGGCGGAATTTACAATATCAGTGGATGCAGGCTGCATTGCAGAATAAGGAACAGGGATGGGGTGATTATTAGAAGGAAAGACGGGTGGTTTGTGGCGGCGACGGTAAGAAGAACCCGATGGCAGTGGGAGGCAGCGGAGGCGGAAGCCATGGCAGTGCATTTTGGTTTGGAGATGGCTCACCGTCTTTAGCTGCATTCCATCGCCATCCAGTCTGATTGCCAGCGGGTGGTGAGGCTGATTGCGGGCCAGACGAAGTCATCTCTAGAAGTGGGCCAGATTGTAAGGGATATTAGAGAGATGGGCCGGGGTTTCAGTAGGGTAGAGTGGGCTTATATTAAAAGAGCCCGCAATCGATTAGCCCATTGTATGGCTCACACAGCCTGCAATTAGGAGGAGGATGAATGTTGGGTGGATAGGCCACCAGTTTTTTTGTTTCTCTTCGTAGGGAAAAGTTCTTATGTTTAAACATTTCTCATTAATAATATAAGCAGGACGCATTTAAAAAAAAAGAGTGAGTTTCGCTTCGTCCAAATGAGAGATTGAGAAAAGGGTGACTTTCGGGTTTTAATTATTCGAGACGTTTGTGTCTCTTGGCCTTGGGTAGAGGGTTAATTATAAATTTTATGTATGCCGTGCAATATAGATGCACCCCTACAATCAACTTTCTTATCACTACTTAGATACTAACTCCTTGCCATGTGGGTGGGTCTGGTTGCCTTTTGCCTATTTTTTCATTTATTTTGCAGGATTAGCGGTTTATCCAGTGGAGGATTTTACGGACTTTTGTGCTGATGTGTTGTCATCTATGCAAGGGTTCGCTTTTCTGCTTCAATTTTCAGCATGACTAATTTATGATTTTGACCCTTTCAAGGAAAGAAATCATGATATTTCCCATGTCATTAAGGTATCAAGGGCTGCCTATATCGTGGCAAAAAAAACCCCCTCTCTTCGTTGGTTCAACATCTGTTGACCATCGCGTATTATTTTTTAATTTGGCCAGCTTCGATCATGTACTTATTCGTATTCCGTTCTAGAATCTCTTTGGAAAAAGAAAAACTAAGTGGTTTCACTCTAACGGTCTAACCACAAAAGCCCAGAAACACCTATAATAGAAGGAGCAGGTTGGGCCAGACAAATAAGCCCACCTAACTCTTCTCCCAACAGCAAATCCATTTCAGTATTTTTACCAATGCTGTCAAAACCGAGCCGGAGTATGACCCGGTAACGTGAACGGCTTGGTCATTAGTGGTCCAGCCGGCATTAGACCGTTTAAAAACCGTTTGAGAACCGTTAAAATAAACAAGTAAACAAAAATTGCTAAATGGAATAGGAAACCTCACGGGTCACGGCAGCAACACAAACAAACCATTACAAACTTCTTTTATGCTTATATGAAATTATCAAATTAAGGTCAACGCACATGTAAATTTATTAATTTAGTAATTTACCACAAGAAGTTCTCCTGGCCTGTTCGAGAAATTGAAGGGGAGGGCAGCAAGGGAGAGGCAGAGAGGGAGTGGCAGAGAGTCGATGCAGCAGGGTCGAGAGGCAGAGAGTCGAATCGGCGGAGGCGGCGGAGGATGATAAAAGGGAGGCGACGGCGGGAGAAGTGATGGAGAAGTGATGATAAAAGAGGACCGGAATCCGGCGAGCGGCGGCGGGTGGGAAGGGAATCAGGAGACAGGGGAGTGGCCGCCGCCGACGATGATGGCGATAGGCGACAGGGGAGTGGCGTCGAGGGATGGCGACAGGCGACGAGGGATGGCGACGGGCGTCGAGCGATGGCGAACGGCGACGGCGTCGAGCTATGGCGAACGGCTACTGCGGAGTGCTTTCTTCTTCCGTCTTCGTTCTGGCTGTCTGCGCGAAGGAAAAGGGGGAAGAAATGAATCAATTAGGGTTACGACTTTTCAGCAGCCTCCCCTTTTATTTTTCATTTTTTATTTTTTTAATTAAAGCAACCGGCCCAAAGGGTAAAAGCCGGCCGAGCGGCTCGAGCGGTTCAAGCGGTTAACCGCTTCGGCCGCTCGCCGACCGTCCCAAATAACCGCTCCGGCTAAATAGCTGAGTCGAGCCGGTTTTATGGTCGAGTGGCGGTTTTCTCGGCTCGGCCGGCCGGCTCGGCTCGGCTTTGACAGCACTGATTTTTACCCTCCATAATTCACCATTTCCCAAGTCCCCTTATCTATCTCAGAAACCGCCCACAGTTACTCCCCAATTTACTTCCACGTGCAACATCATGTTCCCTGAGAATGACCAAAAAACCCTCACCCACCCCACAGCTCCCTCAACACATCCACGCTGACCTCCTTCGTAATTCCCCGCCGATCCGCTGCCCATTTTCGTCAACTACCACTCACCCATCGTCCCCGCGCCCTCTTCTCACTCACTCACTCACTCTCTCTCTCTCTCTCTCTCTCTCTCGAGCCCTAAGCTCACAGACAGAAAGGGGGAAAAATTGGAAACGGGCGAAACTAATCTGAACCAAAAAAAAATTCGAAGAAGCAGCATCAATGGAGGGCGGCGGCGGGTCATACAGAGTCGAGACGGAGCGGTGGCTGACCATCGCCGAGAAGCTTCTCGTCGCCCGAGATCTCCAGGGTGCCAAGACGTTCGCGGTCCGCGCTCGGGATTCGAGCCGGGATTCCGACTCTGTCCTCCTCCAGTACTCCGACCAAATCATCGCCGTCGCCGACACCTTGCTCGCCGCCGAGCTCCGCGTCAAGGACCACAACAACGGCACCGAAACGCACGATTACTACGCCCTCCTCCAGCTCCCCAGGCTGACTCACTCCATGGACCTAATCGCGACTCAGTACAGAAAGCTCGCTCTCATCCTCAACCCTAGCAGGAACCGCTTCGCCTACGCCGACCAGGCATTCCGCCTCGTCTCCGATGCCTGGATGCTCTTCTCCAACCCTCAGAGGAAGCCAATGTACGACTCGCTCTTGCAGCCCGTACAGCTCGGTCTCTCCGCCGCTCAGTTCGCCGCCAACCAGGGTTTCATTGACGCAGCCGCCGCCATGCTGCCACAATCTCAGGTGAGGAGTTCTACAATCAACAATAATAGCGACGGTTCGATGGTTGTGGATCCCGAACCCGTGACGACGAATCAGTGGGTTCCTGTCTCGACTCAGTCAACGCGACAGTACACTACTCAGGAGCATCAGTTCACTAACTCGGCCGCGGCAGCCGCAGCCACTGCTACTTTTCCCACTCAGCCTTTCCTTGCTCAACAAACCAGACCAATAGCTCAGCCAAAGCCGCAGCAGCAGCAGCAGCCTACTAGTACTGAGTCGCCACGACCAACTCAGCCGGTATGGATCTCTCAGCCTCCCGCCACTAAGCCAGCGGCAGCTCAGTCCCAACCATCCAAAGCAACCACTGAATCAAGCGCAAGCAGGGTTGCTCCACAGCGAGGCACTCCTGAGGCAGTCACGCCGGTTTCAAGCAGACCAGGAGCTCCACAGCAAAGCCCTCCACCTCCAGTGGCAGCCACGCCAGTTTCAACCCGACCAGCTGCTGCTCAGCAAAGCCCTCCAGTGGCAGCCACACCAGTTTCAACTCGACCAGCTGCTGCTCAGCGAACTCCTCCATTGGCAGCCACCCCAGTTTCAACCCGAGCAGCTGCTGCTGCTCAGCGTAGCCCACCTGTGGCAGCCACACCAGTTTCAAGCCGGCCAGCAGCTGATACTCCGCAGCAGAAGCAGACGTCGCAGCCTCAGGGGCCAAGTTTCTGGACTGCATGCCCGTATTGCTTCAATCTATATGAGTATCCAAAGGTATACGAAGAGTGTGCCCTGAAATGTCAAAGTTGCAAGAGAGGGTTTCATGCGGCGGCAATTGCAGCGCCGCCTGTGTCTAGTAAAGATTCGTACTTCTGCTGTTGGGGTTTTTTCCCCCTAGGGTATTTGGGTGGGAGCAAAGATAGTGAATTAGGTGGTAGTAATTGGTCGCCATTTTCAGCAATGTTCCCCACGCCTGTGCAACCTGGTGTGAACTACAAAGTTCCTTCTTCTGCTGTTGCTGGTAAGGCTCCTCCTAGGCCGAAAGTTATATACAAAGACGATGATTACATAGACCTTTCTGACTCGAGCGATGATGATTATTCTGGTGATGATAAGTCTGATTCCGATGATGATGATTGGGATAGGACTGTGAAGAAAGCCAAAACAACAACACCACCAGCAAGAAGAGGGAGACCCCCTAGTAAGAATGTGAAGAAAGTTGAGAGAGGAAGAAAAAGGGCAATAAGCCGTAATGTAGATGGCAGCGGCACTACTAATGGTGTTGTTCAAAATAAGGTAATGGTGGGTGAAGGGAGTAGTAGTGCAAGGAAGAGCAAAGGGGGAAAGGACTTGGGGAAGTTGGATTTGAATGTAATGTTTAGTAATGAAGTAGAGGAGGCTGCTGCTGGTGTTAGCAGTGAAGGGAATGAAGCTACTGCTTCACATGGTGGGGTTGAAGATAATATTGAAGGGATTGGCTTTTTCGAAGGGCTCGACGAGTTCCTGAGTAGTTTGCCAATACTTGTTGGAGATGATAAGGTGAAAGCAACCTAGGGAACATCTGGTGTGGTGCCCCCTTTTGTCTCTCTCCATTTTGTTGTTGTAATGGGTTTTCCCTTTGTCCGTGCATAATGCCATAAAACATGGAGAGGCCAGAGCCCTAGCTGTTTTGTTTGCATATATGCCTTGTTTGATAAATCTATGTACATGGTGCTGGCAAATGTGCTGTAGTAGTAAGTTAATCTTATCTGAATGTGAATTTCTTTCGTTCGTCAGGGTTATGGAATACTAACTTCGCTTGTTGATTTGACACAGTAGGTAGTAGCCAGGGTGAAGGTGAGTGCGAAACCGTACTTTAGGGCACTTATAGCATTTCAGAATGGGTGAAATTGTTTCCCTGTGGAACTGCTAGGCTTATGCAGGTTGCAGTTAGTCCAGTCTTAATGCATGTTGCAGGCATCGACCAAACCAGAAACGGTCAATGGTGGATAGCAACATGGTCGCTAACCGAGTCTGGGTGCGTGGCGTGCATATGCCATATAATCTGGTAAAAAAGAATGACCTTGTTGTATATGGTTTTCTCCTACTTTATACCATTTCTGTTACGTTTTCTCTGGCCTGGATGTGCATATATGCTACTTTTTCTGTGTTGTTCTTATTGCTCTTTTGTTCTAGACTTCTAGTTTGAATGCCCCCATAGACAATAAGAAACTACTTCCATCTCATTCCGTGAATCTTCATATGAACATAACAGATCACTGGAAGGTGTTCTGAACATTGCTGTTCTACAGAGCCTGTTACCTTTTTGTAGTGTTGCATAGTTCATCACTGCTCTTTCTCTCGAGATGACCTTGTTGGCGCTTCTGTGAGACATTTGTGAATATGGTGTCAAATGTCTCGTCAAAGTTCGAAAACAAAAATGCTTGAAACTGAAGATTGAAAATGTAAAATGGGGATGTCTTTTTATTTCATCACATGTTCTGCTTTCATGTTCTTATAAGGTGGTTGTTGCAGCAGCAGGATTGTGGATTTCTTCACTTAATGGTTTTCTGGTTTTCAGCTTTCATGCATGCCTTGGCTTTACTCCAGTTGGGTCAAGTGTGCCTAATATGCTGGCTATGCAACCAAAATCATTCGATCAACATTTCATCTGTTAACTCGACCAAGCGTCTTCCCATCTTGCCACCACCACGAGCATCAACTACGAATCCTAAGTGATTGCACAAAGCAGAAGCTCATTCTCGGAATTAGAAAGGGTCGGGTTAAGGTTCGTAACAAAGTGATTGTTTCTAAACAAATGGTGCATAGTTTTAGCTCAGCGACTGTTCTGTTTTAAACTCCATAATTCGATGAGCATTTAAGCATTCAACCGTAAAAAAAAAGTTGTATTCAACTTTAGAGTCCACCATAAGAAAAGCAAATGGTTACTAAAAAGATGATTTGGGGTCAAATTTGCTTTGAAAAGATTCTCAATCATATCCAGCACTCCTCAATAAGGGGAACAACGCTTTACAAAAAGAGACCAATTACATATGACCCAAAACAAATGAATTCTCAATTGAACTTAGAACCTTGGTACCCAAACTTATAACCAATTAACCATCCACCATTTCAAAGCTAGTAAGCTACCATACAAAAACAAATAGGAACACAGAGAGGCATCATGGTCCAATTACTGATTCCCTATTAGTTCTCTTATTCACCATATGTTATCGACTTATTGTTCACCAAGCAAACATTGGTCGTGCGATACCAATGACATTATAATGACCATGATGTGATCATTCGAATCTCACAAGAGTCGCAACATTCCCATCATTTATACAATTATATCAACAATGGTATCATACTAAGGGAGTCATCTTATAATGAAGCACCATTGACAGCCCATTCCATCATATGCTCCACGAAATGAATCTTCTTCCTCGCATAATATCATTGCCTTTGCCTGCCATAAGAAAATCGACAGGTAGATTCAAGTCTGATATTATAAACATTTCAACAATAGAGCTACACTAGGAGCACCCTTCTGCCTTAGCAGAGTTTGTACAAGCTAAACATCAGTCGGCCATATACCAACTATTCCATGAAACAATTAGATGAGCTGATGAATATTGTTACAGATGAAGTTTGAATACTGCTCTAAATGGTTTTCCCATGACATATCACAGAAAACCAATTAGTTGAGTTGATGAATTATAACAAGGTAGCTAGATGAGTGAAAGTAGAACAAAAATAGAAATAAAAATATGTCACTTTAGCATAAGGATATGGGAAAGGAAGTCAAACCTTGGTGAAGACATGCAAGTTCCTGCATTGGAGAAGCCGACAAAGACATTCGAGTAGGATTTAGTTAAGTACGCGAAGTTTGCAATGGGTGGAAGTGCAGGCACTTGTTCACCTTTCCTCAGTAGCTCCTCCAAGTTCACCCGCTGCATGGTCAACACAGCTCGCGACTCCTTCCAAACGAACGCCAGTACACCATCGCGAATCACAAACAGTGAACCCGGTTTAGACCCTGGATATCTGAACCCATATCCATGGGCAATACCTTCCCCAGCAAATGCATGATCAAAACTAACATCCCAAGGAAACAGATCATTAGAAGGTTCATCTATGTTCACTATAAACATTGCTGAGCCATTGGGATGAAGTACATAATGAGTTCCTTCCAATATCTTAGTAGCCATAAGACTGCGATGACCTTCAGATTCATCATAAGATATTAACAAAAAGAAGAGTGCTTTCCCAGGCTTATCCTCAGAAGGCTTCCCAGGTGGCCACCCGAAAGTTCCACCCCATAAACCGGCATACTCTTGGTCAGCTCGGGGAATCCACAAGGGCAACTTGTAGAGGGCAAATCGACTGTCGTGCATATTTGGCCAGGCTCTGTAAGAAGAAAACCTCAACGTCACAGGACGCAATGCCAATCCTATCGTGTCGCCTGATGACAAGAAATCGTGAAGATTCATGTGCTTACTGTCACTGCTCGAAGTAGAAGTCTTGGCACGTCTATGCCCTCCCGAAGGCGACTTGCCTAAAATTTGCTTCAGACTAGCCCTTATATACCCACCAAGTGTTTTCTTCACAACTCCATTTGAGCCGCAAACCTCACTTGAGTGATGATCCATGCTTTTCTTCACACTATTTGATTGCGATGAAACGTGATTGGAGGGTAGTTCTGGAACCCGTCTCCAATCAATGCCATCTCCACCAAGCTTGTGTATCTCCAGAAGCAAAGATCTACGCCGCCACAAAACCCCCATATCTCTCGCTTCATCACCCCTATAGAGTGGGAAAAGCGGAGCACTTGTTGAATCAGGCAACACTTGGCGAGCATTTCGAGTCACAACCTCAATCAACTTCCTTCTATCACTGAAAGCCAGCTTACTAAAACTCGCCTTGGACTCAGTATGCCGAACAACCCTTCGCGACATTGACAAACTACTACTGGACCTAGCAACTTTAATTGACTGATCCTTCTCTGGGATGCAAGCAAAACTCTGACTATGCAACAGCCTCTTACCCGTATCATTCTTCTTCGGCTGCTGCTCTCGAGGCTCGATCTCGAGTAACATCACATTGCAATTCCTATCAGAAGGCTTGAACGAACCCGGATAGATAAAATCATTTCCTTTCTCTCTACCATGAAGAAAAAACGAGGTGGAACCATCGACATCACTTATTATCTCAAACACGGGTGCCCAAAGTATAGGGCCGTCTTCAATCCCCAAAGGACCAAGCTCTTGTGGTATGATTCGACACCCAACCACAGACACAAAACCAGGCATGACATAGACTACATTACCGAGCTCAGGGTTCTGATGAACCCAAATCCCAATCAATGGCTTTACACTGACAAGGAAGCGGCATAGAGCCTTGTATGATGACACACCTCTTCTCCAATTGATAAGCTCCAGTTGAGGGAGAATGTCCAAGATTTCGCATTGGGTTAGCCAAACTTTCTCCGAGGATGCAAAAACTTTTAAGCTACGGCAGCAGATGCTGAGATTACAGACGTCCCGTGGCGAAAGGGAGCGAGATATGATAGCAAAAACATCATCTGGGAGTGCTAGAAACAAATTCAATCCGCAGAGTTCAGGTGACATGATAATGAACAGCTTTCAGCTTAAAGTACGACCTGGTCAAAGTTAAGAAAAACGAGCAAATGAGTAGCAGCACATTCGAGAGCAACAATAATGGAAAGAGTGAGGAGGGTAGAAGAAGTAGGCATACCGCTGAGATTTTCAAGGGTTATTTTAGAGCTGAAACTGAAATGGATCTGCCATGGATTCTTCAGGGGATGACTCCCAATTGCAGGAAGGAACCAAAGGGAAGGGAACTAAAACTGAGCTCCATGAACAGAGCCAAAAAAAACAAAGCATAATTCGGAGTTTACTTTCCCCCAAAGAGAAACCAGTCAAATCAAACCCACCAACGAATCTCGCAGGAACGGGAAGTGGGTTTCATTCAGATGCCGGGGAAGTGAGGAGGGTTTGATTCTGATTCTCGGGTTGCTGGCTCCATAGAAGTTAAAAGAACAAGCTGGAACCAGAGAAAAGAGGGAAGGAATGGAAGGAACGGAAATGAAGAAGTGAAAGTATAAAGCCAACGTTTGGGGATGAGCAAAATCCCGGCAACCCAGCAGCTGCTTCGTTTTGTTAGCTGTTTGCTTCTAAAAATGGGTGACTATTGGGGAAGGGATGTTGATGAAGTATATTATTCTTTTTCTGTGGTTAATCAGATTTTTTAGGGAAAGGGAAAAGGAAAAGAAGTCTAAAGATTAAAGAAGGATTTGGTATTTCGAGAAAAAAACAAAGTCAGTGATTCCATTAAACTGTTGGACTGTATTTGTTAAATGATTTCATCATAGTGACTTGGTTTAAACTTTCAAGTAAAATATGTTTTTGAGTTTGTTGATTAGAGATTTGTCATTGACCAACAAAAACAGTGAAATTAAGGTTGAACCAATCAACTTGTACATAAAGATGGTTGATGGTTTTATGTTTCGATCTTCAACTGCTATTTACTGTTGTATGCATCTTCCATTGAAAACAATCGACTTACTGATTCGGCCCAAATGTGCACATTTTATCCATCATTTTTTATTCGTTTAGCTTAGTATTTCATCGTTCCTCGACATATTTCACGCTAGGTTGTGCTTGTTTCGATAAATTTCAGGTCCTAGCACGTGCGGAAGGGTCGAGGTCGAATTTTGGGATAATTGGATGTCAAAAAGTGCAAAAACCGAAGAAAAGTCTGAAGTCACCGTGACAATTGCCTCGTAACAGTAAAGTGAAGGCGTACCAGGAAACACCCGCAGTTCACTGCCGGACAAGGTAGTTCACGGTCTCCTAAGACCGTGAACTTCGACCACAAACCGTGAACACCGAGGCGTCCAGCGAGGTTCCTGAAGTTACTAACGACAAGGCAGTTCACGGTATCTAAGACCGTGAACTGTGGTCATTGACCGTGAACCCAGGAAGCATAGCGATGTGTTTTGGAGACAACTGAGTTCACGGACGCGTTTAGGTGTTCACGGCCTTGAATTGGCCAACGCGTCCGTGAACTGATCACTTTCGGGCAAATATGAAGACAACAGCGGGGAGAGAGAAATGAGAGCGGGTTTTTGGAGAAGGAACACTTTCTTTCTCTAGGGTTTCAACCTAAAACACCAAAGGGGAGTTCTAGTGAGGGAGAGAGAGTGCTAGAGTGATCTTGGAGCATCATTGGAGGCTTGGGTGGAGGATTCAAGCCTAGAAGAAGAAGAAGATCTTGAGCTCAAATTTGTAACCCCTCTCTTCTCTCTCTAGAAACTCACTCTTTTATCTTGGGTGTTGTAGATCCCTAACTAATACTTTGTAATTACTTGTTTAGATTGAATGATTAAGAGTGAGTTTGCATCAATTTGAGTATTAGAGGTGTTTTCATGGTGATTGTGCATATTTGTGCTTAGCAATCTAAGAGTTGTGCATGCTTGTGTTTAGCAATCTAAGGATTGTGCATGTGGGTGCTTAGCAACCTAAGGTTTGCGAATAATTGCGCTTAGCAATCTAAGGTTTGTGCATGTTGGTGCCTACTATATATCTAGGTTAGAGACCCTTGACTCAAGTTTGCGTCTAGGTTGGTTGTAATTAAGCTGCTCAAACTCCGGTTTGAGAGAGAGACCTAGGTAACCACTAGTGACTGAGTGAGAGGATCGATCCCGTGACAAATCGACCTCCAATGAATCCATCCCGTGAAAAATGGATCACTAGTTGCTCCTCCTAGTGGTTCCCCTAGATTTGGTGAGTGGATCGATCCCGTGACAAATCGATTGCTAGTGATTTGATTCCGTGACAAATCGATCACTAGTTGCTCACCCCCGCGGTTCACAACCACCTACGTCACACGACTCCATTCAATCCAACGAGTCATAGTAGCTAGTTAGGGGGGAAGCAACTCCCGGGTGAAGCTACCTTAGTTAGACTTTTCCTTTATTTACTTTTCCTTGCTAGTTTAGATTGTAGTTATCTTAGTTTTAAAACCCAAAACCGTTTTGCTAGATAACAACTTAAGCGATTGAAGTAGGGGTACATGGACCAGTCCGAGTCGATATTTAAATACTTGCTCTATACTGCACCCGACTAGATTTTAAAAACTTGGACTCTAATCGGGATTAATTTGTGGTGTAGTTTCGTGCAAGTCACCTACGGAGAAACAAATTGATCGTTGTAAGCCACACGAAACATATCACATATTCTCACTATATGTAAGAAACCTGAGGATCTGCGTCTTCCGTCTAGGGTGATACGATTAGGAACGATAGCGGTTAGGGAAATTGGGGAATTTGGAGAGGTGATTGAGGGATTGGAGAGGGTTGAGGACGAAGAGGTGGAGGGAGGTCGGCGGCCAGGGTGGCCGGCGCAGGAAGAGGAAAGTTGGGAGAGAGGGTTCGGGCGAATGAGGGAGAAGGAAGAGGGATTTAGGGTTTTGGGGAATTCTGTTATTATTTGCTTAACGAGTAATCACCCACTAATTACAGAATATATAACCCGAATAATTCCCGCTAGCTACCCCAACTATTACCCTTGACTCAATTAATCCGAATAATCCTCAAATGCACCCAAAAACCCATAAGTAATACCCAATATTTCCCAAACATAAATAAAATGACAAACAAGTCCAAATACCGAATTAACCCAATAATTGGGTTTCTAACACTATACCAAATCGCAGTATCAACCAACTGATCGATTGAAGTTAACCATCAAACCTAAATAATATTACTTTGAGTTTTGATAGAATAACCATATGCATATCGCGCTAATTTATTATAATTCTATCATACTTTTGAATTATTAGTTTCATCTATTTTGGTACTGAAATAAATTAAGGCTATATACTTTTTAAAAAGATATTTAATTTGCCACTTTATAAACAAAATATTGAACCACTTTTTTTTCCCTCTACCTCAAATTTCAGTACATACCACAAATGATCTCCTTGTTATAAGATATCTACTAAAAATATGATAACGTATAATAAACTTTTTTTTTTGTCATAGTTATCACGGAGGGGAGCAGTATAGATACGACAATATACAATGCCTACTGAGTATAATAAACTATTATATGCAATGGTTGGAAAAAAAATATAAGCACAAAATTTGTTAATGATGTGAAATTTGCAATTTGATTAATTCCGCTAATTGTCTACAATCCGGAGTGCCGGTAACCGGCTAGTTAATTAATTGTGTCGTTTTCTATCTTTGTTTGTCGCCTTGTCTTGTCTCTTGATGGAGATGAGAACTTAGTAATTATCGAACCATCGTCCTGTAGCTTTTGCCTGACTTTGAATTTCTGCCCTGCAAAGCAAGTATTTGTGTTTTGAAAGATCATATGTTATTTGTTTTGGGAATTTGAGAAATGAAAGTTTTAGTAATATTTGTGTTTTGAAAGATCATATGATCTACAATTGGATTCGGTCAAAGCTTGGGGTTGATCATAGCGAATTAGCGATGACAAGTGTGGTTGGAATAACAATAGTTGTGGTTATTTTCAAATTCGATATACAGAGTATGACATATTGATATTGACATATAGTCAAGACATGTAATTCCAACAAACATATTATTATTGACAAGTCCAAAGGTGGAAACAAAAGAGGCTGCCCGCCAATTCCAAACTATGATGGCATAGACTTTGAGGCAAGACAGGGAAAAATAGATCAGATAGATGGGAAAATGTGGATAAAATGGGGTTGTATTATTTGTTTAGATATATATTACATCTATATAAGTATGATCTGAACCAAACCATATTTATAATATGATATGAATTAGATCATCTTACGACTGTAATCAGAATTGTATTATCAATTATGTTAATATATATTTTATTTTATACATATACTAGTTTTGCGTCCGACCAGTTGGCTAGAAGACAATTTTCTTTTGTTAAGTTAACTTAAGCTATGCTCAACATTCATATTTATGACAAACAAGAAACTGTGTATCTTATGGTGGTGTGAAATGGAATGATATTGTCATATTTAACTATGTGTAATATGAATGTGTCCTGTGAATTATGATGATGCATGACCAGACATGTATATAGAACTGAATGATATTGATATAGTTTAATAACTCTGTCGAATAGGAGTGTGACTCATTAATAAGTGTTCGTGGCCATGCCTTTCAATTTTTTGTAACATATATAAAAATGGGCATCGTTGTATATATCACATACAATTTTATTATTTGCGCAAAGTATCTAAAGGCATAGTTGAAACTAAGGAAACACATATCAAATAAGAAATAGTAGTGTTTACTATTGAAAAAAATCAACTTGCACCACATCGGTTAAATTCAAGGGATTAAATGGCTTTATAAGACCAACTTAATTATAATAGTTTAAATCAATTAAGTGGGCCACGTGGATTTGATTTTTGGACCCATGGCACCCATGCAAAAACCATCATACACGCCACTCTTACCTCTTGCCATCTATTCCAAAATTTGGCTAAGTATGGGAGCTCCCATACTGCTACCCCCAGAACATACCGAGGGGGGTTGCCATCATACTTCCACCCCCATGACGTGGTGAAGGGGGTGATGGCCGAATTTGGC